AAATCTGAAGTTTCATATTTCAAGATTTCAAGTTGTCAAAAGTGGATCTAATTGAAGAATTACCAATATCCAACTTCACAAATATTAACATTTTCTCTTAAAAATGGAAGATTAGCCAAATACAATAGCACTAACATTTTCAATAAATTCCATTTTTAATAAGTCATAAAGAATGGCCCAAGATTTAATTCAAGCAAAATGAAGGATATTCTTTACAGGGTGAACATAATTTCTGTTTTGCACCTGGAAAGAAAAATTAAGAATTAAGAACACACCTGCGTTTCTATGCATGAAAAAAACACACACAACCTCCTGATGCATGACAAAAAGAGGCCTTGTGTGAAAGTAACACACACGTGATGTCTTGAGCAGCCCGACTCCTGTTATATTTACGCTCCATAAAATATATGACCCTTCCCTCTCAGGCTTTTATCCCATGTGGAAAAATTATGGATGACTGCAGATCACAAATGGCACTCATATCGCATGCACGTCACAGGGGAAATGTAAAATATTAAAATACACAAGGTGGGGTGTGTAGCGTTTACTTTAGGGAAATGAAATATGAATGGAGTGATACTTTAGCTCAATTGAGCTAACCTGTCGAGAGCGTGAGGTTGTGCTGACAGAACTAAATCAGTGTCTTTCAGGTCGTCTTGACAACAGACTTCATCATTTTTGCTCAATGTCTTTTAAATGATGGTGTTTTGGTGATTGTAAGTGAATGTATGAAATCAGTTCTCCTCAAGTTCATCGCATTAACTATGAAAATGTTCCATTACTCAGCTAACAGGGAATGTTCTGGCAAGGTTCTCTCAAATTTTAGAACATTAACAGAATGTTCATTTAAAGTTTTCTGGTCTTTCATAATGTTCTCAAAACATTAGCAAAAATATTATGTATTTCTCAACGTTTTTCCTCTGGCTATTTTTAAACATGATTACTTACTGTACTTGTTTCAGATGGTTCAGGGAACTTTTAAAAGTAACTTTCTCATAATGTTTGCTAAATGATAATATTGAACATTCCCTTAAAGGGATAGTTCACCTAAAAATGAATATTCTGTCATTATTTACTCACCCTCAAGTTGTTCCACACATTAGTTTTTTTTCATCTGTTGAACACACAAAAAAAAGATATTCTGAAGAATGTTGGTAACACTATGAAAATGTTCCATTACTCAGCTAACAGGGAATGTTCTGGCAAGGTTCTCTCAAATTTTAGAACATTAACAGAATGTTCATTTAAAGTTTTCTGGTCTTTCATAATGTTCTCAAAACATTAGCAAAAATATTATGTATTTCTCAACGTTTTTCCTCTGGCTATTTTTAAACATGATTACTTACTGTACTTGTTTCAGATGGTTCAGGGAACTTTTAAAAGTAACTTTCTCATAATGTTTGCTAAATGATAATATTGAACATTCCCTTAAAGGGATAGTTCACCCAAAAATGAATATTCTGTCATTATTTACTCACCCTCAAGTTGTTCCACACATTAGTTTTTTTTCATCTGTTGAACACAAAATAAAAAGATATTCTGAAGAATGTTGGTAACCAAACAGTTGGTGGTAGCCATTGGCTTTCATAGTACTTTTTCCATCTATGGAAGTCAATGGCTACCGGCAACTGCTTGCACATTCTTCAGAATATCTTCTTTTGTGTTCAGCAAGAAAAAAGAAACTCATACAGGTTTACAGGAGTAAATGATGACAGAATTGTAATTTTTGTGTGAAATATCCCTTTAACGTATTTCCTAATGTTCAAATTACCAAGAAAAAAAACTAGTTTTTTAAAACATTTAAAAGAATGAACATTCAGGGAACATTTAGAAAATGTTCATACTTACTAGTTTCAGATGGTTCAGAGAATATTCAAGAGTAACCTTGCCATAATGTTTTTGCAAATTAAACGTTCCCTTAATGGTTCTCTCATGTTTAAATAATCAAGAATTTTTTTTAACTTTTTGAACATTCAGCGAACTTTTAGAAAACGTTAATACAAGCTTCAGAGAACATTCAAAAGTAACTTTACCATAATGTTTGCAAAATCATAAAATGGAACGTTCCCTTAATGTTACTCTAACATTCAAATAACCGAGTAAAAAAAAACATTTGATCAACATTTAAAAAACGGAACGTTTTGAATGTTTAGAGAACATTCAGAAAACTTTAATACTTTATAGTTTCAGATAGTTCAGAGAACATTCAAAAGCAACTTTCCCATAATGTTTGCAAAATTATTAAATGGAATGTTTCTTTAATGTTCAAATGACCAAGAAAGTTTTTTTTTTAACATTTAAAAACTGGACGTTTGAAACATTTAAAGAACATTTAGAGAACATTCAGAAAACGTTGAACTAAGAATTAATTAAAAAAAAAAACATTTCAGATGTTTCAGAGAACATTCAAAAGTAGTTTTCTATAATGTTTGCAAAATGATAAAATGGAGTGTTCCCCTAATGTCTCTCTACCGTTCACATGACCAAGGAAACATTGAAAAAACTGGACGTGTTGAACATTCAGAGAACATTTAGAGGTTATGTTTTCATAACTTAACAAGAACATCAGCATAACATTCTTATTATTGTTAGCTGGGCTATAATGCTTCAGAAACAAAGTTGCACAATCCTTTTTATCTTCATTTTCAGCACTAGATCACTTTTTTATACTAGATCTAATGCATTTCTTTTTGTTTTGCTTGTAAAGTTTTCAGCTATTTTTCTTTATAAAAGACAACATGCACACTCAAAATGCACAGACATTAGCTGAATGCTTTTGGTTATACTACTCAGCGAGCGCAGTAAACATTTGCTCAAGAAACGTACATTGTGCTTTTAGCTCTAAACAGACATAGAAGTACATAAGCAGGGAAGGAACGCCAGGGATTTAAATCAATTATGCTCCATTCTCGTGTCCATTTTCCAGGCCACTGATCCATGTCGCCCGTCTCTGACAGTCCTCCACAGCCTACGGGGTAAGCAAGCTGAACACAAGCCGCCTGGGCCGAGAGAGTGTAATGATCCACCCACCACAGTCAAGCGCATCTTAACCACTGTGCAGCCCAGTTAATTCCACAACTCACTGCTATATACACACCAACTGCTTGTTTTGCTTGTAAAGTTTTCAGCTATTTTTCTTTATAAAAGACAACATGCACACTCAAAATGCACAGACATTAGCTGAATGCTTTTGGTTATACTACTCAGCGAGCGCAGTAAACATTTGCTCAAGAAACGTACATTGTGCTTTTAGCTCTAAACAGACATAGAAGTACATAAGCAGGGAAGGAACGCCAGGGATTTAAATCAATTATGCTCCATTCTCGTGTCCATTTTCCAGGCCACTGATCCATGTCGCCCGTCTCTGACAGTCCTCCACAGCCTACGGGGTAAGCAAGCTGAACACAAGCCGCCTGGGCCGAGAGAGTGTAATGATCCACCCACCACAGTCAAGCGCATCTTAACCACTGTGCAGCCCAGTTAATTCCACAACTCACTGCTATATACACCAACTGTAGCAAATGCTCAGGGAATGTGTACTATATGCATACATAGACTGATATTTCAGATGCATGTCTGCAATCACATTTAGGTCACTTTTTAGTCATGTTCATGGTTTTGTAATGCCATTATACTAGATATATTAAAATTGTGATCATGGTAATATCGTATTTAGTGGTGCTGGAGAAAGCATTATTATGGACAGAGGACTTGTATGTTAGCCGAAAGCAATGGTTTGCAGTTGAAAACGCATTAATGATGGATATGTTTCATGCAAACACACAGATTTTTGCTTCTCAAGATGTTAACTGATGGACTGGAGTGGTGTGGATTACTTGTGGATGTTTTTATCAGCTGTTTGGACTCGGCACCCATTCACTGCAGAGCATCCATTGCTGAGCAAGTGATGTAATGCTATGTTTCTGTTCCCATGAAGAAACAAACTCATCTACATCTTGGATGACCTGAAGGTGAGTCAATTTTCAGCAATTTTTTTCATTTTGGGTGAACTATCATTGGGTGTAAATGCAAGAATGCAACTACTGCTTTACTAGTAAACCTCTAACAATTATTCTAAAATCCTTTTATGCATGACTATTATCTCTATTGCTAACACAACAGCCTGCATCAATGTTTATGTTGATATTTATTTATTTGTTATGCTTTATAGTCTCTTCTAATTAAATTTCATTGCCCAAATAGATATATAATATTCAGCATGATTGATTTCACTCATTAGCTCTGTCAGATTGCGTCAATACTAAAATGCCCCCAGCAGACTTCTGAAGTGCTTACTTAATATAAAGCACGACTGTAAATCAGCCTAATGAATCAAAAGCAATTGCTTTGCTGTACTTCAATCTGACAATTGATTGTACAGAATGAGAGATGCATATTTACAAATATGCATGCACTGCAAAAATTGTTTTTGTAAGTGTAGTCAGCATGCTGAGTTGTAAAGGGGAGTTACTCACTACCATGGTAATGTCTGAATGTTTACTGCACTGGCACTAGAGTGCGCTGTCATGACTAAATAATGTTTTATACTAAATTTACACAACCAATTGCCCCACAGAGCCAATGAATTTCCATGACTTTTCAAGGCATTTGATTACTTACAAAGCAGTTTAATTAGAAAGCAATATCAAGCCAATGAAATATTATCAAGCTGAGAATACATAGAAGTATATATATATATTCACTGTAGCCATTTGACTTTTCGACCTATTCCCATTTTCTGACATAAGGTGCACAATTCTGCATAAATTGATGATTTTAAATAGAGATGAAGTTTCTGAACAAAACCGCACAAACAGCTCATTCACACTTTGGTAAGGAAGCATCTGTCATTGTAAAACACACTATTGTCTGTAATAAACGTGAGCTTCTGCAGGACTGCTGGTGGCTATTGTGAATGTAACAGCGGGCTGTATTGAAGAGCATCATCCGTGCAGGTGTATTATGGCAGCGTATTGTGTGGGGCATAAAGGAGCACTTACCTGTTTTCTCTTTGATTTCACAGAGCACGCTGAACAGAGCCGGTTTCATTCTGTGACAGCTCAGCCCATGCTTTCTTTCAAGGAAAAACAGGAAGGATACAGAATAACTGATCATTCATACATGCCATTAACACAGTGTTTTACATTCATAGTTCCTCTGCTGTGCTACTAAATGTATCGTCTTGATTCCACCTGATTGCACCTCACAGCACCATGCGCGTTCAGCCAGTGTTTCTCAATAGGATTTAGGAACATTATTATGTTTCACGTGCATTTATGGAGTACTTTTCTTTTATTGTTTTAAAGACATTTATATAAAACCATATTGATATGTTTAAACCAACATCAATGTGGTAAATGTATTATGGTGCATTGGTCTCTACAAAAGAGGTCTGCAACAAATGACACTGTATATAAGCTGTAGAATATTTTCTACGTTGTTAATATAATTAAACACCAACTTACTGAGACATATACAACACATAACTGAATTAATGCTTTTATATTTTAGCAGCACATCATGTTTTTGTTTGTTCTAAATAAACACTGACTATTTTTCAGGTCGGGCTAAGTTGTGTTTTATCATTTTAATTTATGTAGCATTTTCAATATATTTTATATGTAATTTATTTATTTTCATATTTTTTTTTGTAATATTATTTAAAAGAATTTTCAAATATGTTTTTGCATGTTACCTTTTAACATTTTTTGCTTTGTTTGTTATGTTTATTTCAAAATATTTTAAATAAAATTGAATTTGTATTTTTTTGATATTATATTATTATAATATTATAATGTAATGTTTTTTTAATTGCATGTTACATTTCACATTTTTCTTGTCTCATGTATTGTTTTGTTGTTTTATCTATTTTAAAATATTGAAATATATTTTTTGTATTTATTTTCTTTTATGTTATTTTAATGAATTTATTAAAGATTTTTGCATGTTACTTTCTACATTCTTTCCTGTTTACCGAATTGTTTTGTTGTTCATGAGTATGTTACTGTTCACATTTCCCTGAAAAGCCTATAATTGGCTGTTTAATGTCACGCTGTGATAACTTACCCCATATCGTGTGACAACATGCCCCACTATAGGAAGCGTGGCGTGTTAAAATTAATTGTATCTGGACAACAACAGTGCAAGTGCTAAATAGTTTTTATATTCAACACTGTAGAAATAGACTTTTAAAACCACACTGATAAACATTCGCCGGAGGATAAAAGCTGCTTGTAAATACACCTTATTGGTATTAATAAATTGCGCAACCATGGAGAGCATTGTAAAGTGTCATTGTAAAACTAACTTTGCCTGAGCCTCGTCCAGGCTCTGGTCGGTGATGGTCATGATCTGATGCAGAATGTCTCCGATGTCCTGCTTGTTTCTCGCGTCGGATCCGTCATGAGGCACCGGTAAAGCCACCAGGTGTCCGGCGAGGGTCACGCCGCCCAGGGTCTGCATCAGATGACTCTGCTCCTCCATCCTCCGCCTCAAAGAGCTCTGGTTTCTTTTCAAATCCACACAAGAGAGATGTTGATGCCGTCCTGAATCAATGCAATGGAAATGACGGATGCGCAAGAGTCCCGAGTGCGCGAACACAAAAAGTGCTTTAATAAAACGACCCACCGATTTCCAGAATCAGAAACAGTCTAGTGCACTCTGATGCTTTTACTGTTCGTCATTTACCTCGTTGCAATGTTTCTTCACACTATTATTCCATGCAGTCCAGTGGCAGCTTCTGCAAAACTTCAGAAAATCCCCCTGTGTTTGATTTTCATCCTCGAGTAGAAAATAAATTAGTGATAAAAATGGGATGCATAAGAGCTGCAGTAAACCATTGGCTTCCCAGTGTTCTTCCTTCCTGTTGTTGAGCTGTGGAATAACGCAGACAGGTTGTTAAACGCGCCTCGCGCTCTTCTGGATGATCTACAGCAGATGTAATGGGTTGTGAGAATATCCGTGTGGATTCCTGTGTGCGTCTCGTGCGCAGCAGCTCCTCCTGATGATGTTCCCAGTGTTGCACAACAGCGTGCAGACAGGCGGCTCCGCCCACCCGGGGTCTGCAAGTGTGCATCCGTGCTCACCATTACATACATTTATATGTTCAGAGTCTGGACGAGGCTCGGGCAAAGTTAGGTTTAAAATGACACTTTACATTGCTGTCCATGTTGATACAACTTAATAATGATTTATTAATACGCAGCTTCGCACCATGCACGACACATTTTTAAACTCCGGCGAATATTTATCAGTGTGGTTTTAAAAGACCATCTTTATACGGTCTTGAATAGCAACTAAAAACTATTCAGCACCTGGATATTGCACTGTTGCTGTCTGGGGGGGATAAAAAATGAACACGCCTCACATCCTATAGACTCTATAGCAGGGTTCCTCAAATCTTGCCCTGGAGGGCCAATGCACTGCAGAGTTTAGCTCCAACCCTGATCAAAGTCACCTACCTGGGATTTTCTAATGATCCCGAAGACATTGATTAGCATGCTCAGGTGTGTTTGATTAGGGTTAGAGCTAAACTCTGCAGGAAAGTGGATCTCGTAGGCCAGATTTGAGGATCCCTGCTCTATAGGATGTGTGGCGTGTTCATTTTTTATTTTTTTATATATATAATATAGAGAGATATGTTGTTAAACGGTATGGGGTAAGTTGTCACACTGTGTCATTCAGCGAAATGTGAACTTATGAAAAAACAAAATTCAGAAAACAGCAAAAATGTACAAAGATAGCATGCAAAAATATAAAATCGATAAATAAGTAGATAATAATAATAATATCGAATAATATAAAAATGTAAAATAAATACAAATAAAATATATTAACATTTTTGAAAAAAAAACTATACCTAAAATGGCAAGCATCTATAAGACTGCATGTACAAATATTTAGTTATAATATTATAATAATATACAATTAAATAATATTTTTTAAATCGTTAAAAATACAAATATATTTAAAATATATATATATATATATTTAAATATAAATGTAATTTAAAATATGGTCAACAGACATGTAAAATTATAAAACACAACTTACCCCGACCTGAAAAATAGCCAGTGTTTATTTAGAACAAACAAAGTTGGAGTTTTGAATTATATTAACAATGCAGAAAATATTCTACAGCCAGTGTCATTTGCTGCAGACTGCCACTCGTGTCAAACAAACAAACAAGCAAGCAAGCAAATAAATAAATAAAGTAATTGCCAAGAAATAAATAGGTAAACAAGCATATAAATTCATTTGAAAATGTTTTGTCAGGTAACCTGAAAAATATGCTTCATGTGAAAACATCTAACTGATCTGAATCAATAGAACTGCAACAGTTTAAACTAATATTTATTTTTTAATAGATCTGTTCAGGTCAAACAAAAAAGTATAAATAACTACAAAATAAATGAATAAACAAGTAAACAAACAAATTTAAACAGCAACGTTGTAAACAGGCGGTCTAATCGATCTAACAGGTTAAACTAATTTTCAGATTTTCTGATCATTACAGTAACTACTGCACATTTCCATTCGTTTTTTAACCGTTGTATCCATGGTGCAATAAATTTGATTTCATCATCGTCATAAAAACATAATATTATACACAGCAACAAAATAACTTAGTATACAATCATATATAAATTTGTATATGCACTAAAAATAAATAAATGTTAGCGCTTTATTTTTACATTTGCGTAAATTCCAAAATTTTTGTGTGATTACAGCCTTTCGCTAGATTTGGAATGAGAACCGTTTGTAAACCTGCTGTCAGGCTTCCCTGTAGTTTTTCACCAAAACAACAGTTCAAAGGTTGAACTCTTTCAAGTATCGATTAATCACTGCCCAATTTTATTCCCTTATTGTTGTGGCAATTTGTCCATGTGTTATCGAAAATGGTATTGATTATTTATTTTATTCATGGCATTGAAGTTAGAAATTCCAGTATTGTGTCTCTCAGAACAACTTAAAGGAATAGGTCACCCAAAAATTTTAATTTGCTGAAAACTTACTCAACCCCAGGCCATCCTAGATGTAGGCCTAGATGAGTTTGTTTCTTCATCAAATTTGGAGAAATGTGGCATTGCATCACTTGCTCACAAATGGATGCTCTGCAGTGAATGGGTGCCGTCAGAATGAGAGTCCAAACAGCTGATAAAAACATCACAATAATCCACACCACTCCAGTCCATCAATTATGGTCTTTCGAAGTAAAAAACTGTGTTTGTAAGATACAAATCCATGATTAAGACATTTTTAACTTCAAACCGTTGCTTTCAGCTATAATAGGATAAAATAAAAATATGGCTAAAATAAAAACCCATAATCTATTATTAGCTTCCTCCAGTGAAAAAGTCATCATGTCTGAATCAGGAAAAAAAAAAAATGTATAGACGAAGCATCGTTTTTAAGCAAAAATAGTTAAGAAACACACTAAACAAATATGTTGGCGGATTTTGAAATGAGAGGACAAGAGAGGGCTTTTTCACTAGAGCAAGCGTTGTTATGGATTATGGACTGAAATTTTGGCCAGAAGCAACAGTTTAAAGTTAAAATGCTTTAATGAATTTGCTTCTTACAAATACACAGCTTTTGGCTTCATAAGATGTTCATTGATGGGCTGGAGAGGTGTGGATTATTTGTGTATTATTGTGATGTTTTTATCAGCTGTTTGAACTCTCATTCAGATGGCCCCCATTCACTGCAGAGCATCCATTGGTGATCAAGTGATGTAATGCTACATTTCTCCAAATCTGGCCTGATGGTGGGTACATATTCAGCAAAGTTTGGGTGAACTGTTTCTTTAAGAGTGCTCATGCTTATCTTGCGCTCTCAGCATTTTCAGTATGTGGCTTCGCATTTTGCAGAGGGATCAGATATGAGCATGACAATGGCTTGTCAGTTTTTCAGTGTGAGAAGATGCTTATTGGTCACTACCAGAGTTTACTAACCGTTAATATCAAACATGCTCAATGTTAAAAATCTGCTAATGGGATGCCGGCCTAAACTTAACCTTGCACGCTTCTGCTTCAGTTTGCTCTGTGGTGTCATCCCATGAATACTTCTCTTTCTCTCTGAACGTGTTTTCTATCTGTATTGCTTTGCTTAAAGCAGTTCAGTTGATGATGCTGAGAAATGTGACCTTTGAAGCCATTTAGGTCTCTAACAGGAAATACAGCTATAACTTGCTTTTAAATATGTTAAACAACAACAAGTCTTAGCAAGTGTAGTATGTTATCATTATATCAATTAGCATTTGTCTGGTCATCATCTGAACTGCTGCATGGCTTTCAGATGGACAGGAATCACAGTTTATTAGGGTTGGGAATCGAGAACTGGATCCTTTTCCGATAACTGTTCTGGAACCTCAGTCTCCAGACCAGAAAGTTATTTTTGATCTAAAACATTTATTCATTTAGCAAAATATGACATTTGAGGAAGTTCTGTGTATTTAGATTTTTGCATTATATCTGAACTAATTTGACGACAGGCTGCTGAGGGCCCTAAATGCAATTGATTGCAATTGAAAGAACTGCTTCCTAAATAGCGATTATTCAGAAAACCTGAAAGAATTGTTAAAGCATTCCTCAAGGAACCAGAATCTTTAAGTGGAATCTGAATCGGAGCCAGAATCGTTCGTTTCCTTACTATTCCCATCCCTGCTGCTTACTGATTATCAATAGGCTGAAACCTTGGAGCAAAATAAAGCAGAAAGTTAGGCTGGACTTAAACACTTTAGCTATATTTTTGCTGCTTCGTCTTTCCCTCAAAGCTTTCCTGTTAATGCAGCTATATTAGTCTTTACTGTACCAGCCACTCAGAATTGAGCAGGAAAAACGATCTGTATTGGGGCTCAATAAATGTTTACACAAATGAAAAGGAAATTAGCATTTTGATCTCAATAGGTACCATTTTTAAATGAAATGTTTCTTTGGGGGAATTTGTTATTTTTACTATCTGATTTTCCTTTTCTGTGATCAAGGGTTAATCAGATTGTGCTTGTTGGCTGGGAATGGCAACTGACTGAAATTGATTTGTACTCTTAGACGATCTTGCCTTTGCAAACCAGTGCTAAAATTGTTTCCGGTGAAATTCGATCTTTTGTCTTTTGGAATCAGTTGTAAGCTTATCTGATGATTTCTTTAAACGAATAAATCTAGTCTTTCTTGTTTTTCAGTATCAATCCTGTTCAAAATCATCAGTATGAGCACAAGTTAGTTTTAGTGTTTTGATATTGGACTATTACAGAGAATATCTCAACAAATGTGACAATGTTGTGCAGTAGATAGCAGCAAACACACAGTGTTTTATATTGAAATACCTCTAATTAAATTCAAAGAGTAGTTTGACAAAGCAAACCTTTTTCGCATGGAAAACAGTCAGTTTCTCACATGACAGGTGAGTTATACTTATTATATTTTGCTTAGGCATCAATTTCACAATTATGAATGCAGAAAAACCAGTGCTAAAATTGTTTCCGGTGAAATTCGATCTTTTGTCTTTTGGAATCAGTTGTAAGCTTATCTGATGATTTCTTTAAACGAATAAATCTAGTCTTTCTTGTTTTTCAGTATCAATCCTGTTCAAAATCATCAGTATGAGCACAAGTTAGTTTTAGTGTTTTGATATTGGACTATTACAGAGAATATCTCAACAAATGTGACAATGTTGTGCAGTAGATAGCAGCAAACACACAGTGTTTTATATTGAAATACCTCTAATTAAATTCAAAGAGTAGTTTGACAAAGCAAACCTTTTTCGCATGGAAAACAGTCAGTTTCTCACATGACAGGAGAGTTATACTTATTATATTTTGCTTAGGCATCAATTTCACAATTCAGATTTAGCCATAATTATGTGAGGCTGTAATTATGTTATGCTTGTTCACACAGTTTTTGGTCAATGTAAAAAAGACTGAAATACTGATGCCGGGTTATGCTGAGGTTTGTTCCTGGAGTCGTTCAGTTTCAGTCAGTACGTTTTGTCATGGCAGCTGTTGAAATGCGCATTAATCCTGGGCTAGGGATTGATAATCACTAGCACTCTAGCTTTGTAACTTTGATGAAATGGATGTGGCTTAGCGCTGGTTTTGGGATGCTTTTGTCGGGGAGGGGGATCTTTGAAATATTTCTCTATTATGTACCATCTGAACAACTTGTGCCCAGGACGACAAGACAGTTTCGTGAGACCTGAGCCTGCTGGTAAGCAAGTGTTCAGGACGGGAAACAGTGCTGAAAATATCAATATGAATCTGATGAATCTTATCTGTGAATCAAATTCAGTTTGAATTTCAGCAATTCATTCTGTAATCTCAAAAGGACATTCTTTAATTGGATGTAAGACTTTTTTGTAATTATTTCATGACTTTAAGAGGTCTACATAATTGTTGTTGTTTTTTTAAATGGGGTTGAAATCCAACTAGGTCCCACAGACCCTTACTGTGCGTTCACACCGCCGCCGTCGAGAGCGTCAAAAATCGCTCTGGCCGCCCTGCCAACAACGCTGTAGAAAGATTCGTGGATGCTCTGATGTAGATCGAATGCTTATCTTGTATTTAAAGGGGTCGCAAAGCAAACAAGCTTGTTGATCTTGTGCAGGCTGACCACAAGGAGGGTAACGTTATAAGTTAACCTCATTAAATATTGTTGTGGACGAAGATCCTTTACCTAATAATGTATAAAGCACTAAGACCACACTGTAAAAATACTCTGATACAAGTAAAAGTCCTGCATTGAAAATGTTACTTAAGTATAATCAGGTATAAACATTACTTAATGTAAGTATAATCAGGAAAATTGATTTAAAGGTTTAAAAGTGAACTGGGACTATTATACTATTATTTATTATATCATTAGATTATTATTCCTATAACGTTAATGCACATCAGCAACTCACCAGGAACACCAACAATCTCAGACACCTTGGTCCACGCATAATCTTTTTTTATTTATGTCCCTGTACGCAAACAGGGACACGTCGTAGATGATTGGGAAACCCGCCACAGCAATAATCAACCTCTCCTCCATTTTGCTTGGGGAACTAATGTGGTCGGAACGAAAGTTTACAGGACTGCATTCTCTGGAATCCTCTCAAGCGGTGGACTACTACGTTCCGACTGGTTGCTGCCAAACCGCGTCATAGCTCATTACCATAAAGTTGACCTGATTTCAACTCTCCTCAACGGCCTCAACGTCCAAGTCGTGCCGCACCGCACCGCTGCTCGACGCCGGCTCACATTGAAAATGAATGACTTCCGGCCACTTTGATGCTCTCGATGGTGGCGGTGTGAACGCACGGTTAGGAATACTGATTGAATCAAGAAAAAATATGGGCCGATATGTGGCTAATATGTACATTTTGGGTGTTAATAGGTATCTTTAAGGTACTAATATGCATAATTTAGGTGTAAAAAATATAATAAAATCTAGAAAATATAATTTAAAATATAAATTGAAATGATACATTTAGAACAATCACTTTTTGTCAGAATAAGTATGTTGTTTCATTTTACAGTAATATATATGTTACGCTGAATGACTATGGAACATTTCATCCACATTTTCACCTTTTATTTTCACAAAAGTGATTTGAAACAATAAAGTATACACTTTACTTTTATTTGATATTCACTTTTGATGCAGCCACCAAAATGGGATGTCTGGTAGCTATAATATAAAGTTAAACGCAAATAATATAATAAAAAAAAGTAAATAACAATTCTGTCTAATAACAGTGTTCAATATTGTAAAACTTCAAAACTCCTGTTAGGCAAGCAATAGTCTAACATATACATTGTGAAATAGAAAAGATCTATGTATGAGCTACTTCAGATGTCTAATGTTGCATTATGAATTGCAGTATGGCACATTTGAGAATGCATGGAGTGTTTACAAAATAGAGTACATTTTTTCATGCTTTGTGGTTACTATATCATATCATATATGCATGCATGCATGCATGCAAAAAAAAAAAACCTTCATGTGGAATGTCCCAGACCACTCAGGCTGAAGTTCCAGAATCAACAAAACACTTTTGACTTGAGTATAAGAGAAAAACCCTTTAAGAGAAACTTTTGCCCTGCAATTAAAGGGGATTACATTTGCATACACACTTCAAGTGCTGCATATTTGTACTCTCAAAATACCAGCCAAGTGCTCTCTGGCCGATTCTTTTAAGTGTTTTAAGTGTACAAATTGGACTAGTTTAAATATGTTCCAGACACAAAAAAATGCATAATGAGCAATATGCATTCTTTTATAGTCTACGAACTGCATTTAGGCTTATGCATATTGTTTAAAATGCATTTTTAAGTGTTTGGAAAATAAAATACTATGTAGATCAGCTGTAGACCTCATGAAGTAAATGGAAAATGTCTTGTACTTCTGTGTAGACATTCTGGAATATTCGTAATAGTCGCAATATAGAGTGTTTTAATTCCATTCATTTTCATTTTTTTTCTTTGTGACATTTTCATGACATTAAAAAATTCTCATTACTGTAATGGGGAAACATAGTGATATAATATTAAATTAGATTTGCTGACGTACATTGAATTCATGCTGATTTTAATTTAAAAAAACAATGATTGAGACAGGATTAGCAGCTTTTCTACGTTACAGTAATGAGAATGAGGTTTTTTGAGGGGGAAATGTGTTTAATTGTCTTAAATAATGTCACAATTTAAAAAAAAAAAATTTTTCATGAAAAATATCTACCTGATCACTTATTTGTGAGATCCATCCAAACACTTTTTTGGCTGATTATTGATGAAGAAAACCAAGATTAGTGTAATAGTGGATCAAGTTTGACATTGATTTGTTAGATGACAGGTGATTGAATATTTAAATAATCAATAATATTAATAATAATAATTTAAATAATCTAGCAATAACCTGCATTTTTAATCAAAAATGTATCATCACTTAAAATGTATCAAAACCCCTTGTATATTTTTTTCACCAGGTGAATTCAGCCCTTATATTTGTCATAATATGCATGAAATATTTTTCATTGCCCGCTTTGAAGTGTAATGGTCACACCACTGACAATGTTAACAGATGAAAGTCTTTTCATTTAAAGCTCAAAGATTGGAGCGACTGAGGAAAGAACGACAGAACCAGATCAAGTGCAAAAACATCCAGTGGAAAGAGAGAAGCTCGTCTCAATCAGGTACAGTAGCAGTGCTCAAAAGAGAAGTTTGCATTCATTTTCTGGTCTTTATTGCTTGTCCTCTGAATATGTTGTTCTTCTGTCTTGATTTTTGTAGCAGACGACTTGAGCTCACTTTTTGAAAAGAAGGACTTTAAGGACAGGCCCCGGAGCACAGGCAGTAAATCCACACTCTCGCTGCGGCTAGAACAGTGTCCTCAGCAGCTCAACAACCCCTTCAACGAGTACTCCAAATTTGATGGCAAGGTGAGCGCTTTTGTGTCCACACTAAGCACTTTTCATCTAAAATTACACGCTGGATTTCTTTAAATACTGAGGTTTTTCAAAGTCAACATGAGATCAAAATTGACTTTCTTAATAAGTGTCCCTGTCCCTTATTCTAAAGAAATAAAATACAAGCATCCATTTACCTCCATTTGTGCTATATAATAAGGCTAGTTAGCCAAAATAATCTTTTTTTATATATCAGGAGTTCATTTGCAAAAATCGATAACCAATAACCTTTTTTTTCTTCTTTAAATACTGAGGTTTTTCAAAGTCAACATGAGATCAAAATTGACTTTCTTAATAAGTGTCCCTGTCCCTTATTCTAAAGAAATAAAATACAAGCATCCATTTACCTCCATTTGTGCTATATAATTTGGCTAGTTAGCTAAAATAATCTTTTTTTTATATATCAGGAGTTCATTTTTCAAAAATCGATAACGATAACCTTTTTTTTTCTTTCAGAAATCACTTTTTTTTTATTGCGCATTCCAAGTAATATCAATCAAACTGCAGTTGGGTTGTTTTGATTAAGTAATAATAACTTAAACAAATACAGGTAATTTACAAAATTAAAATTCATTGAAAGTATGTATTTTTATTTTTTTTTAATGTTTTTTGGCAAAAGCAGGTAACTCCACATTTCATGTTTTAGAGTTTAAAGAAACACTGGTTTAATCTTTCTAATCTCCGCAGATGACAATGTAGATGCCTGACAAACGTTGTTGTTGTTGTGATCTGCAGTTGGGTTGTTTTGATTAAGTAATAATAACTTAAACAAATACAGGTAATTTACAAAATTAAAGTTCATTGAAAGTATGTATTTATTTATTTTTTTTAACGTTTTTTGACAAAAGCAGGTAACTCCACATTTCATGTTTTAGAGTTTAAAGAAACACTGGTTTAATCTTTCTAATCTCCTCAGATGACAATGTAGATGCCTGACAAACGTTGTTGTTGTTGTGATCATAAACTGTATGGATGTGATTACACGCAATACACAGAGCTTTTCCCTCTCCATTGTAACGCGCTGCTTTTGCAAGGTTCCGTGAAAACGTTTCAGATTTTATTTTCCTTTTTTGCCCTGAAGAAGATATCACAGCTTCATCAAGTTCGTCTCAATGATCCATCCTCGATCACTTTAAGTCAGCTTTGACGAAACTCCTCTCAGCTAGCACGTCTTTTCAAAGTGAAAGTAGCCTTGTCACCTGACTTGAATACAGCGCGCTGATTCGCTAAAATGGACTTATCGGCTTCTGTTCAAAAACAACAAGGGTGCTTGTCGGCTTCTGCAGTAAAACGTGAACTCGCGATGCCTTGAAAGTGGACAAAACCGGCTTTTTTGACAAAACGTGTTTAGGGTTCAGATCGCGCTCTATGTGGAGAATAATGCATTTTTTTTTTAAAGTGGCGTTTATCGGTCTTTGCAAATGAACTCTTCATATATTCCATTTTTAGCTATAGTAATTTTGTTGTGTGTTTTTGGCATTTTTAGTAGTTTAATCATTTTTATATATGTCTGTACAGTGTTTACTCATTTGTATGTTATTTTTTGTGCAAGTTAAATTATTTTTTAAATATATAAAATTTTATTTGTAATTTTATAATTTTTGTATTTGTACTTTTTTATATGGTTATTGTTTCCAGTTTAGTTAACTATAGTAATCCTGATCATTATTAGTTGGTCATCATGGAGCACTGAACCCTTCCTCTCTTGCATGATTAAAAAAATTAACATGGTTAAGAAATCACTTCCATACTCAATTTTCAGACCTCACCATTAACAGACAGAATTTAATTAAACATTTTTGGGATGGCTTACAGAGTTGAATACAGCGCGCTGATTCGCTAAAATGGACTTATCGGCTGCTGTTCAAAAACAACAAGGGCGCTTGTCGGCTTCTGCAGTAAAACGTGAACTCGCGATGCCTTGAAAGTGAATTCACCAAAGAATTCACCATTAACAGACAGAATTTAATTAAACATTTTTGGGATGGCTTACAGAGTGTTTTCATCACCCTTTAAGCAAGCTTTTTCTTAAACGCAGAACAGAAACGCCTGGTGTCATGCAGGTTTCTCTCCTTTCTCCTTGCATTAGGATCAGCTCCAGGCTATAACACCTTCGCAGAAAAGAGAAAGATTGCCATCTTCATTTTTTGACAATTTAGAGATTTTAGGTGTAGTTTGTCATTGTGCATCACTTACAGCTGTATACTTCCAATAAAATCTTAAATACATCCCAGTTATTTTAATGTTGTGATATTAGTGATATTAGCAATAGCCCTATTATTTATAATAAATATTTCAGATTCTGTTCATTTAAAAAAAAAAAAAAAAAAAAAAAAAAAAAAAAAAAAACGATTCAAACCCGTGTCTACTGCGTACGCAACAAGGCTCAATTTAATTGCTTATAGAAACGTTTCCTTAACTTTTCTGTTTCAGGGCCATGTTGGTACAACGGCAACCAAAAAAATTGACGTCTACCTCTCAATGCAGTCGACCCAAGAAAAGCTTCACCCCATGATGGTGGTCACGATGGCTAACGCTCGGGTCCACGATCTTATCGGGCTCATCTGCTGGCAGTACACCTGTGAGGGCCGCGAACCCAAGCTCACGTTAGTAGAAAAAAGTTTTTACACATGGATCCTATATAAGAATTTGATATCTCCACATGTTCTAGTGCATGAAGTGTTAAAGCTGCAGTCCGTATCTTTTTTTGGTTAAAAATTATCAATATTTGAACAAGTACATAACCAGCCAGTGTTCAAAACTATCATCTTACTTTAGCCCGATTCACAACGGTTATCTTATAATAATGTTTTCTAATTTGAGTGGTACGGGTAGGTTTTCGCAGGAAATTTGAGCATGGCACTGCGCCATTACGTTACGTCTGTAAACATAAAGAAGTTGTCCCGGCTACTAGGCTATCCATGTGAGGATCCTGCAGGTGGCTGATTGTTTATAGCCTTTTCTCACAGCAGCCAGAATAATTAAATGCATAAATTTGATGGCGGATTGTAATCCATAAAGGATTATGTGCTACTAGGCTATCGCATGTGAGGATCCTGCAGGTGGCCGATCGTTTATATCCTTTTCTCACAGCAGCCAGAATAATTAAATGGTTTGTAAATGGTTTTGGATTGTAATCTTTAAAGGATTATGTGTTTATGAAACACGTGAATGAAATTAAATTATATTCCAGTTATAAATGTGCTTCTGATTACAGATAGCCTGGGATTACAAAGATTTGTATTTTAAAGAAAACCAGTTCGAAGGGAGCATAATTTGCTTTTTGGGTTAAAAGAATTTCTTAATATCAAATTCGTGTATGACAATTAGATTAGACTGTGCAGAAATTGAAATCTACACGCTAATACACACTATACTCATAGTCACCAATGCTGATGCTGTTAACATTAATCATTTGAGAATAAAGTATAACAATAATAATAATTTGAACGGTTTGATGTGATATGAGCTAACCGATCTTTAGATTTAATCACCGTTGGTAGTGAGATTTATGGTAATGCTTTTTTCTTCAGTTGGTCAGAACAAACGTGGCAGACTTGTTACTTACTTGTTCAGATGGCAATATACGGTGAAAATAAAATTCTTATTTGGGTCATATATTCCAAGACGTAGGCTAGAATCTGTGATTGCGAAGTACAGTAAATATCCACACTGGTGCGGTGACTGACTGCCACACATACTCTTCAGAACATTAGATTCATCCGCGCTGGAGCTGTGCCGACTCAACCCACACAAGCTAGATAATTCCGCACACAGCTACAATTCCAGGTTTTCAAACAGAGATGGCAACAAAGAGGCAAAATTTACGGACTGCAGCTTTAAGCTCAGTGCATGGCTAGACACTTCTAATTTGAAAAATTTAGGAGCGCATAAAGAACTTTAGGGACATAGTGAAAATATATATATATTTTTTTAACAGTAATAAATGGAAACTAGAAGACATTTAAGTTTCTGGATATTTATATATCAAACTTTATTTATTTAATCATTATGGAACTATTTATATTTTAATTGTTGAATTAAGTGCCAGATGTGGTTTATTGTGTAAACAGAAAAATGTTTTATGCATAATGCAGGACTTTTAATTACAGAAAAGCCTGAAATACACAGACTCTTATTTTGAAATGTCTTTGCTACATTCAGCTGCTAGTTCCAACAGATGCGGGGGAAAAATATACATTCTTACAGCCATCTAAAACATATTTCAAAATAAACACCACAAAGTAAACAGATGTAATTCATTAACAGTAGAACATAAGCAGTCGCCTGGCATAAATGCACGTTATTCATTAATTGCCAACTGATGTGAATCTGCGACTATAACGTGCAACAGTGCTGCATTTTTACATTGAAATATACAGCGTTCACATTTATTTCATTAAATCATCGCCTTTTGAAGTTTAATTATCATACGGCTATTATGGTTAGCTAAAATTAATACAAATTAAAAAAATGTGCGTTACTTGAACTAAAATAAATGTTAACTAAAATATAAAAATGTAAACTTAATTTATTTCAGCTACTTGCAAAGGCAACAACTATACAGGCTCATTTTTAAAAAAATCACAAAAATGCACAATACTTTAAAATTAATGTTAAAACAAAAAATATGAAAATGAACGTAATTTAAAATATATTCTAAAAAAATTAAAAATAACACTGCATTATGCCATATCGCAATTCTAGATTTCCAGTTCCAAATTTAGGACTTCTTAAAATGATAAATAAGACTTCTGTTATGCCATTACCTTAAAAGTGGGAAAAAAAGACTTTAAGGACTCGTGGGAACCTACTTTTTATCCACACATGTATCCTAAATACATTTTACAGTTTGCATGCATCTATTTTTAGTTGCAAATGTGAGTGAAATGCTTGAACCGTTGGTCCCCGCTTAGTGGATATTTGTTTAGGGGTGCCATAAATAAAATATGTTTGTTATCAACCTGCTTGGAAAGTGCTACCCTCCAAGTAATGATCCTTCCCAGAGGCATTTATATTCCTTTCCCATCTACCTCTGCTGCTAATGCCAGTCTTGACCTTTCCCAGCGAAGGCAGGGATTCCCCTGGGTTTCTTTCTCATCTCCACATTCAGTACGTCTCCGAGGTTTGCTGACCGAATAGCGCAGGAATTTTCTCCCTGGTATGTGGTACAATATGAAGATTTATACTTCGGTCAGATTGAGGAGAGGGTGACCATTAAATTGGAGAGGAGACCAGAAAAAAAGCAAGATTTCCTCTTGGGCAGCGTGGTGCCTCACACAGACAGTCTTGGTGGTTGATGTGAGACCTGATTGGCATAGCAATGAGTCTTTTCCCCCTGGAGGAGGGTCAGGCTGTAGCAAGGAAGAGATACAGGAATTGCGTGGGGTTTAAATGATTCGGCTAACTCCGTACGGCTCTGGCCATTTCTGGAGGCCATCTGAAAGCTGCTTTTGAGTGAGGATCAAGGTAAAGGGGACGCCCCTCTTGAATTCAGAGACGATTCTTTCAGGACGTTTAGATCGCTGTCAGGGCAAGCCAACAATTTCCCATCTCCCTCTCTCCTACGGTTCTGCCGATCCAGGTTTTGAGTAGTTTGACATCTGAGTAGTCAGTGACATCTGGTATTATCATCCAGATGTACAGTCACAAGTGGACTGTGCTTAATATAGGTGTAAATTGGGTTGGAAAAACACATGGCTTGAATTCTCGTAAAAAATACACACTCAAAGGCTTGGTTTTATTTATAGAAATTATTATTATTGTATGCTAAAATGTACTTCCTAAAGTAGTAATATATATTATAATAATAATTTTAAGGAAGTTAATTTGTCCATCAGTGTTTTTATTTGTACACTATACTATAGTATACTGTATAATTTTGTTGTGAAGCACTACATTGTTTTCTTTTGATTACATTTAAAAATATTTATTAAGTTGTTAAAGTTTAAGAATTTATTTCATTAGAGACAATTTTGATGATAAATTTGTATTAAATCATAAAACACACAATCCAGAAAAAATTTGTTGGTCAGAAAACACGACTCAAACTTACTGCAAATCAAAGGATTTCATGACAAACTGCCAAAATAAAAGTTTGGGTTAACTTGAAGAAATTATGACAGTAATATATTATAGTTCTGTTGTGCAGCACCTTATTTGACAAAAATGCAGCTTTTATTTATTTATTTATTTGTAAATTGTTAAAAATGTTTTATGAATTAGTTTCATAAATACCACTTTTTTGGTGATACATTTGTGTTAAATCATAAAAACAACAGAATCCAGAAAAATAAGTTAGTCATAGTTAGTCAAAAAAACATGACTCAATTTGTCATCAAATACACTGCAACTCCAAAGTCTTCATGACAAACCGCCGAAATAAAAGTTTGGTTTAACTTGAAGAAATTATGACAGCAATATATTACTATTATAGTTCTGTTGTGCAGCACCTTATTTGACACAAAATGCAGTGTTTTGTTGTAAATTGTTAAAATTGTTTTATAAATTAACTTATTATTATTAATAAAAATGTGTAATGCATTCTCTATTAATTGTATGAAAAGAATATTGTAATGACTATTGAATTAGGTTTGTTTAGTTGTTTGGTTGCTTAAAGCACCATTAACCTAATATTTATATTTCCAAATAGTAAGTTGAAATTCGTATAGCTTGTAATGTAAATCAGTTAGATCTTTGTATCAGTATAGCGAACTACTTACATTAAATGCATATAAACATATTTTGATCATGTGGGTAATTAAGAGGCCTTAGAAATTTGCGCATCAAATAGGGTAGGCTTTAAGAACCAGACAGAAAGTCTTTTGAGACAAGATATACAAGGATCTTATATATTTAAGAGTCGTTTGTTGTCTTGGATGGCCCAGAATTTGAAGGTGATGTTGAAGGAGTGCGTGTTACTGAAGCTTTGTGGTACTTTAGGTCCAGGACTTTCTCTGAGTCTGCTGTTATCTCCTCAGGCTGCCCGAGCAGGATCATGGGTCTGATTAACACTATGACAGTTAGTCTTTACAGCTCAGGCCTGGATTTCGACAGAGTGTCAGAGCAAATTAAAACGCTATCGTCCCAGCACAAAAACACCAGAGCAGGCACTGCCCTCGAGGGATGAAAACTATATCATAAAGACAAAAGCTTACCATGTCTGCATTGAATGAATTGTGGAATAGGCTGCTGTTAGTTTTGTATTTCTGATGGATCAGTCTGGATCCATTATGATATAAAACAAAGCCCTGGGCAAAAGTGATCTGGAATACAGCCAGCTTACACTATATATAATCATACAACAAAAGGTTTTACCATGAAACCAATGAAGTTAACTCGTCCCAGTGCTTCTGTTTTGATGCATGCTCATTCTGTGCTAGGCTACATCCCAGCAAGCCCTCAATGTTTTTGCCCCTCAATGAATAGCCCCCATTTAAATGCCCTGACTCATAAATTGTGTCTGGGTGCTTTTGTTTGATGTTTCTGTTGTTCTTGTCTAGGGTCGGGAGAGCGATGTTGGCCTTTATCACCAAAAAGAGTTCTTCAGAACCACTTCTGCACAGACACAAACGAAAGATGTTTCTTCTTAACTTAATAACGACATACTACATAAACATAGCACATCACAGTCTTGGCTTACAAAACTTAAGTTTAAATCAAATAGTTTTGATTTAATGGTCAGAAGTTATTTTAGAAAGAATGAAATTAATTACAATGAAATGTAAGACATTATAGTTGTTACTTAAATAATCGGAAAAAAAATGCAATGCAACAGGCGCAATGCAAGTTAAAATTTTAATTTTTTTTCTTAAAGGTATACAAGAAGACATTTACAAGAAAAATTATTAAATTTATTACAATACAAAATAAGTACAACGTTATAAAATATTTCTGGTTTCAAATTTTTTTTATAATTATGTAATTATTTATATGCCTATGCACTGTATATTATACACTTTTAATTTAATATATTATAGACTTTTAATTATAAACAAGCCTGAGGTACACATGGACTCTTATTTTGTAATGTCTGTGCTTTACTATTGCCAGCTGCTCATTCAAAAGGTGAGGGAGAAATAATATGCACTCTTAAACCATCTACAACATATTATAATATAAACGCCATAAAGAAAACACTGTCATAATTCTTCAGCAGTAGTTGTTGCAAGCAATCATTTGCATAAATGCTTGGTATTCATTGATTGCGAAAATTCTCTGAAAGTCTGAGCCTGAACAGCAAGTAAGAACACGTGCTCTATTTGCAGCTCTATTTTATTTTATGAAATTATAGCCTTTTGAAGTTTAATAATCACATAGTAATTAAGCTGTAATGCGATTCCTGTTTTTTCATACACAAATATAAAACTTCTTAAAATGATAATTAAGATGTTTGTTATATCAAGATATTTAAGAAATTTTATGACCTTGAATTTCATAACTGAATTTTCTAAGGACTATCAGGACTTTTTTTATTCGCACGTGCTCATAAATATGTTTACAGTTTGTGCACATCTGTTTTTGTCGTGAATGCAAGTGAAGCGCTTGCACTGTCAAGCCTTTAAAATGCTTAGTTGCTTAAAAATAGAACAAACTAATAGGAAAACAGGATTTTGCCTTATTGAAATACCAAACATGCTTTCATTGACAGCAGCACTCTTTGAGTTTGATCTCTCTCGTTTTTCTACTTTCTTACTCCACAGTGAAAACGTCAACACTTACTTCCTCCACATCGCTGAAGATGACGGGGAGGTGGACACAGATTTCCCTCCGCTGGACTCCAACGAGCCCATACACAAGTTTGGCTTCAGCACGCTGGCTCTGGTCGAGAAGTATTCATCTCCTGGACTGGGGCCCAAACAGTCACTCTTTGTTCGAATGTAAGAATGCCTCTTAACTCAGATTTTATCACTACTAATTACTACTACTGTCTCACTAGGTGTGTTTCCACTACCCTTCAAATTGCGCAAATTGAAATTGCGAATTGAAAATACGCCTAATGGAAACGCGTCAATTTCGCAAAAACTCCCATATATCGCAAAAAAGTTTTTACGCTTGCATGAGGTGGTTTTTCAGGCAATGCGAAAAAGGATTAATTCGCAAATCTGCAATGGAAACGGCTTTTTCGCATTTACAGGTCACATGGCGTATGTAAAAAGTCATATGATCATTCTTCAACGTACTATAACCTCCAAGAAACACTTCATAAGTGGCCGCGCTCCAGTATAAGGGGCTTTCCCTACTATTAATACTTAGACAATTTACATCTGCGGTGCAGTGTGGCTCTGATACGGTCACTGAAGCTGATTACGGCCACTCAATGCTTGTGTTTATGTTTTTATACAGTCTATGGTTTATTCCAGCCGAGCCACGCACGTTTCTGAAGCGGCTCTCTTTGCTGCTTCTGTAAAGATACACGCATAAGCCTCCTTTGAATAAATATAGCCAAAATCCCTCCAAAATCCATTGCCATGACTTATCGCGAGAGGCAAAAGGTTACGTTTTAGTTGCATAACATTGGTTAATGGAAACGCCGTCATTTCGCAATACTTTTTTTATCGACATTCAGAAAATATCGCCAAAGTTTTGCGCAAATCTGTAATGGAAACGCGCCTAGTGTGAAGAATGAATACATTTAGGGTCAAAATCAAAAGGAAATCGAAATTTCCAAGACTTACTGTCATAATACGCTTTATACATAATTCAAGTAAAATGGGTTGGTAACACTTTTTTTTTTCTGTTGTTGACAAACAATACATATATGCCATGTTCCAAAGTTTGGGGTCAGTAATTATTCTTTTTTTAATTAAACAGTATAGACATTTGTGTTTTTTTACAAGATTTCAATTTCAAAATAAATGCTTTTTTTTTTCTTCTTTTCATCAAATGTTACTATATTTTGCAGCCTTGGTTAGCAGAAGACACTTCTTTCAGAAACATTAAAAATCTTACTGACCCCTAACATTTGAATGGTTGTGTATATAGTTGCATTAATACACAATTCCAAAGAGTAAAACAACTTATTTTATTCTTCAGCTGTATCTAGAAGTTTGCCTAGTTAGTGCACAGCCTCTGATAAGGTTCTTAGCCCTTAAACTAATGAGGTTTAAATGTCTGGCCATTCACATAAGTCTTAAGCACTCAGTCCTTAAGTTTGTTGGAGTTTTTCCCCACAGGCCTCTCCATGAATCTCTTATCTTTGTTTTGTGAGCTCTCAATTCGATTGTTGGTCTTCTGTGCATTTGGGCCGATGTATAATCAGCTGTTTGGTTAATGTGGCTGACAAAGCATTAGGAGGCCTCTATTAATTGGAAGTTGCTAATTGGATTTGAGTGGCATCCTGCCAGATTGTTCTGCCTTTAATAGGCAACCTTAGTTTGGGCTGTAATACTGAATTTAACATTGTGCAATGAAGTTCAGTTTGTTAGTGTACGTCACAGATGTTTTTATGTGATGTTTTCTTGTACTCGCTCAGGTCGTGTGACATTTGCACCGATTAACAAATAATCATGGACGTTTTTATTAGGAAATAAAGAGATGTTTTGCAGATTGGAGAAAAAATCTTTTTTTCACAGTTGGGTGAACTATTCCTTTATCATTTTGTCAACTGTGAAAGCAACACATTACAGTATCGTATTTTACTGATAAAAATTAAGACTTGCATTCAGCAAGGATGCATTAATTTGATCAAAATTATAACACAAAAGATTTCTATTTAAAATAAATGTTGTTCTTTTGAAGTTTCTATTCTGAAAACATATATTATGGTTTCCAAAAGGAACAAAAAAACTATTTTTAACAGTAATTTTAATAATGTTTCCTAGCAATGCATCACATTAGCATATTAGAATGATTTCTGAAGAATCATGTGACACTGAAGACTGGAGTAATGATGCTGAAAATCCAGCTGCGCATCACAGAAATAAATTACATTTGTATACATTTTCAAATAGAAAACAGTTATTTTGAATTGTAATAATATTTTACAATTTTACTGTATTTTAATCTGTATCTTAATGAAACAAGTCGTAGAAGCAGTTTTATTTTTTCAATTTTGTATTTTTATTTTTTTTTTAATTTTAGAATTTTATTTTTAAATTTCAGTTTTAGTATTAGTAATTTTAGTACTTCAGCTTTAACTTAACCATTTTGTTTAATTTGAGCAATCATTTATTTTGTGTTAATTAACGTAAATGTTTCTATATAAATATATATTTATGGCATTAAATAATATTTGGTAATTTGATCATATAATTGCAGCCTTGATGAGCTGAAAAGACTTCTTTCAGAAACAAAAAAATCTTACTGACCCCAAGTATAACTTCATTATAAGTAAATGGCATAAACCAATTGAGTTTTTTTGAAAAGTTGTATTTGTGGCCCAGCTGCTTTGCACTTTTCATTGCTTTTCACATGTCTTTGTCTGTAGTTATTTGTTCTTTATTCATCAGCTTTCAGCTGTGGGCTGGTGTTCAGAGCTCTCTGGGTCAGCTGCATGCTCCCTTCATGATGTGGCACTGCAGGACCCTGGGCGAGAACTGAGCCAGCGCTCGGCCCTCAGTGGGCCATTGGGGCCGGCGACCTCTTCTGCCGGATCCCCGGCCTGACGTGAAGCCTGTCAGAAGCCCTGGCCCGAGGCAGATGGGTCAGGACTGCTAAATGGAAGTGGACAAGCGAGTCCTCTGTCCAGAAAGTGTGTGCTCTCCGGTCTCTGGCCTCGGGTTGTTGTTCTGTTGATAAAGTCTATCGCAGTGATGCGTCCATGTGCTCAAAGTTTGACTCGTGGACTGGCCCTCGGCCTTGTTGTGTTTAGGATGTGCTCTGTTAAAGCAAGCCACCAACTTCTGAGTGCTATACAGTCTATCTGTATGCAAGCTTTTCTTTGGACACAGTTGTATCCACTTACTGCTTGCGCTGGTACTGTTCTGCAAGAGTCATTCAACTACATTTGCAAAAAAATAAATATATTGGTTTCATTTGTATACTTTAGTGGTGCAAATCTGTTTTGAATCAACTGAATCAGTCTGAAGCAATCACAAGAGTCATGAATCTGTCATTGGTGTGGATCAGATTACTAATTTCCTCGCTTACTGGACCACAAGTTATGTCTCTTAAAGAGTCGAGAACAGTAGATCTTAGAATGATTTCTGAAGGATCATATGTCTGGAGTTGTAGCTGCTGAAAATTCAACTTTGCGTCACAGGAACAAATTAGACTTTAAAATATATTCAAATAGAAAACAGTTATTTTAAATTGTAATGATATTTCACAATTTTACTGTTTCAGTTTCCTCAGGTTTGTCTGTGAAAAACATTCATGAATGCTGAGAGTCTGAAGACGTGATTTCAGTGTTGATACTCTGTTAGACGGGAAGTTTGATTCTAATGCAAACGTTAAAGATGTGTTCAATATGACTGATGATTTGCCTTCCTCACCCACAGAAATGCCGCTCATGGTTTCTCCCTGATCCCAGTGGACAGCCAGAAAGTCACCATGAAGGATATTCTGCAGAAGGCCCTCAAAAAGCGGAAGGGCTCCCAGAAAGGATCAGGTGAGACATCTCAACGATTCATGTCTCACTTAATGTGAAAAAGAGGATGTTTTTTATATTCAAGCTTATATTCTTAAAGGGTTAGTTCACCCAAAAATGAAAATTAGCCTGTGTTTTACTCACCCTCAAAGCATCCTAGGTGTATATGACTTTCTTCTTTCAGACGAATCCAATCGGAGTTATATTAAAAATACTCCTGGCCCCTCCAATCCTTACAATGGGGTAAGCGGGTGCTTTTTGTCAACAGTCCAGAAGACTTGAAATAAAGTGCATGCATCCGTAATAAAATGTGCCTCACTCGGCTCCGGGGGGTGAATAAAGGCCTCCTGTAGCAAATCCATGCGTTTTTGTAAGAATAATTTCCATATTTCAAACGTAATAAACACTTTATTCTCACTTCCGCTGACTGTGGGGACTGTTACCCCATTGTAAGGCTTGGCGGGGTCAGGACAATTTTTAATATAACTCCGATTGGATTCGTCTGAAAGAAGAAAGTCATATACACCTAATATGCTTTGAGGGGGAGTAAAACACAGGCTAATTTTCATTTTTTTATTTTTATTTCAGTTTGTCATTTTAATACTTCAGCTTTTTTCAGTTAGTAAGCAACATTAAAGTGCTCCCCCCGGAGCCGTGTGAGGCACATTTTATTACGGATGCATGCACTTTATTTCAAGTCTTCTCACTTCCGCTGACTGTGGGGACTGTTACCCCATTGTAAGGCTTGGAGGGGTCAGGACAATTTTTAATATAACTCCGATTGGATTCGTCTGAAAGAAGAAAGTCATATACACCTAATATGCTTTGAGGGTGAGTAAAACACAGGCTAATTTTCATTTTTTTATTTTTATTTCAGTTTGTCATTTTAATACTTCAGCTTTTTTCAGTTAGTAAGCAACATTAAAGTGCTATTTAAATTTCATTTGATTTTATATTTTTATACTTTTTAGTAGTTATATTTTTATATTTATTATATAAAAATATACTTATTTTTTATATAATTTATATAATATATATTTTATTAAATCATATTTTTAATAGCTATATCTAATAGCTATATGGACCACAAAATCAGTCATAAGGGTTAGTTTTTTTTAAATTTAGATTTATACATCATCTGAAAGCTGAATAAATACGCTTTGTGTGTACTGTGTATATTTATTATGTATATATAAATACACACACAGTATATATTTTGAAAATATTTACATGTATTTACATGTATATAATTATATTAATATAATTTACAGTGGGTACGGAAAGTATTCAGACCCCCTTAAATTTTTCACTCTTTGTTATATTGCAGCCATTTGCTAAAATCATTTAAGTTAATTTTTTTCCTCATTAATGTACACACAGCACCCCATATTGACAGAAAAACACAGAATTGTTGACATTTTTGCAGATTTATTAAAAAAGAAAAACTGAAATATCACATGGTCCTAAGTATTCAGACCCTTCATACCCACTGTATATTATATATAAATCTATTTAATATGTAAACAACATATTTTTCTTAAATATATGCATGCGTGTGTTCGTATTTATATATACATAATAAATATACACGGCACACATGCATATATTATGTAAACAAAAACGTTTATTTTGGATGCGATTAATCACGATTAATCGTTTGACAGCACTATTATTTAAATTAGTTATAGTTGAAATAATAGTAAATATTTTTAATGTTTAATCATTTTGTTATACTGTATATTACTTGTTCAAATGATTATAATTTTTAATGTTTAATTGTTTTATTATATTGTATAAATTACATTCAGATTATTTATTTAATAATTTCTTTTTACAGAATGTTTTTTCTACATTTTTTCTACATCATTAAAATTTGTAGTAAATAAAATGTGTATTTTTTAATTGATTTAACTTATTATATTATTTATTAAATTATATCATGTTAATTATTAAAATATTTGAATTATTATAAATATTTTAATATCAAATTAATTGATTATTTTATTTTATTATTTTATTATTTTCCATGACTTTTCCAAGTCTAGAAATCATACTTTTAAAATTCCCTCATTTATGCAGGTTTTGTCATATTTTGTCATATTTTGAACTATTTTAACATATTTAAAAATGATATATTAAGCCGTCTTGTAAAGTTCTTATGTTCGATTTGTAGATGTTATTTTAAACATGCTTTTTTTTATCGTCAAGTCTCAATATTTCTGTTACTTTCCTCACACATGACAACAATATGTGCTATTTTAGTACAACTGAACTGTCTGTAGTAATTTTAAAGATAATCCATCACAGTGGCTTTTGCTTTCACTTCAAACCATTTAGCACGTTGAAATTCACAAATAGTCTAACGTGAGCTTGTTTCGGAAGCTATTTTGGGTTTTAAAACGCAATCTATTGGCATCTCTTTCTGCAAAAACCATGCAAGTATTTTGACAGCTTTTCCAGAAACAACAAAGATGGGGAGTATAAGAGAAAAAGAAATGCTCCGACTCTGTGAGATCCGTGTTTCTTTGTCTATTTAAAGGTATCAGAGGAATAGCCAGCTCAGTCCTCTCATGCGGCTCAGTCTCTGGGGCAAACAAACAAACCCAGTGTTTCTCTTTTCGGATTTGTGACATCTTAGACATGCCTCAAAAAGAGAAGGAGAAATATCTGCTTGCTCTTAAAAGTACGAGCAGTTATAATAGCATCTTTAGTTCCAGTGGTTTGAGAGTACTTGTGTTTGATGCACAGCCTCATCAGAGACGGATTGATTTGACAGCAGCCCAAGAGAGCCCTCAGAGGGAATTTAATGGGAAATAAACCTACAGAATTGCCCCGCGGGCAGTGAGCCATTGCCCCGTCCCGGTCCAGCATCCCATGTTGCAGGTGATTGTTTCTCTTTTAGTCTGAGATGGTGTCTCAGAAGACATCTTGAGTGGATGTGATGGGGTAGGTGGTCCAGTCAGGCCGTGCTCTCATCTGCATTTAGATGAGTATTGATTGTTTATTTACCCGCTGGAGACAAGAGACCAATCCAATCTTCTGTCCACTCTCTTCTGCACCAGCCGTTCACTCTTTGGCCATTTTCTTTTTCTTTTTTGAGCAATTGTTTTTCCTTTGTGTATTAGTTTAGTCCTTTCTAGTCTGAACAAGAAACTAATGTAAACCATTTTTCTTTTAAATGCTGTGTTAAATTAAATATTTGATGTATATATTTCATATGTGTGTGCAATATTACATTATAAATTACATGTTTATTTATTGTATTAGTTTTAGACAGTTTTTAATTACAATACTAATAGTTGGAAAAAAAGTAAATAAAATAAATTATAATATATGAAGTATGATTAAAATAAAAAAGTAAATATATTATATATAATTAGAGCCCGACCGATATATCGTTTTGCCGATATTATCGGCCGATATGAGCCTGTCGCCGCGGATTGTAGACTCAGAAGTAAACACCCACTTATAAACACCCATTATAAGTGTTTGATCACCACATTTGAGTGATCATTGCAAAGAATGTGTTTATGTATATATATTCTGTTTATGTATATACTGGATTCTATATATAGTACCAGTCAAATGTTTGGACCCTCGAATGGGGAAAGCGTCCAAACTTTTGACTGGTACTGTACATAATATACAAAAAGAATATCGGACGATATTTTTACTCACTAATATCAGTATCGGTATCGGCCCTGATAAAACCCATATCGGTCGGCCTCTATATATTATATAATATAAATTGAAATCAAATTAACCCTTATAAACATTGATTAAACACATACATATACACATATATAAATCTAAATATATTAGTCATATATATATATTTATATATATATATATATATACATATATATATATATATATATATATATATATATTAATTCAGAATATAAAGTATAATTAATATTAAAATATAATTAAAGCATATTAACAGAGATTAAATGTTAAATTAAAAAAATGCCTATTTATTTATTTACTTATTGTTATTAAGTTAATAATGCTCTTTGAAGTTTTGTTTATTTAATGCTTATTCATTTAGATTTTTTTTAAATAGCATTTAAATGCATGTACTGATATTTAAAAATTAGTCGAATAATTGAAAAAAATGGTATTGCTTTGATTTTCAGTTTAATTGAGCGAATATATAACGGTAGGACGTGTGGACACTAGAAAGCGTGCGCACTGTAAAATATGACTAGTTTTATGAGCGGATCAGGGTTTGTGAAGCTCGGTGGCTCTGTTGGGGGAGATAAGCGCGATTGAATGCATCCTGTGGGTCTTATCAGGGTAAATGTTGGTGACATTTGGGAGGCGGCGATGGCTGCGGTTTGGGGTCGGTGTGCCTGTGTGTGAACTACAGATGAGCTCAGACCGTGACTGTTATGCTTTATGTGCTTAGGGCGAATGCATTGAGACATTATACAAAGATGAACATTTTCAACAGTTGCTGTATTTGTGTGGATTTAGTATGAGCCGTTTTATTTAGTACTTGGCTCGATATTTTAATGACACACATGCACAGAATATGATTGGATTTGTAGCTCCACACGGTACGTCTGGATCTCCAGTTATTAAAGATTCATCATAAAACGGCTCTGCGATCTGATCGCTGAAGTCTTTCATATACACACACACCTGTGACCGCACATCAGTTTAGTTCTATAAAATGCATTTATTATATATGATTATTGCTATATGCACTACCATTCAAAATTTTGGATCAGTAAGATTTTTTTTGTTTTGAAGAAATTAATACTTTAGTTCTGCAAAGATGCATTAAATTGATCAAAAGTGGCAGTAAATACATTTATAATGTTACAAAATATGTCAAATAAATGCAGTAGTCTTCATTAAAGAATTCTAAAAAATGTATCATTACGTCCTTAATCATTTGTTTTTTCACTATGAAATATTGTTTGAAAAATCTACAAAGAAGTCTGGAAATTTGAACCTGGAAAACATTTTAAAATGGAAAATGTGTAGAACCCCTGATTATGTATTGTAAATAAATAAATGCAGCAATATACACACCCTATTGTCTAAATTAGAAATAAAAAGATATTTTGAATTAAAAATAAATTAATAATACAAATGTAAATAATTTATAAATATATTTTTAGGGATGTTTGCTAAATCATGCTTCATTATTAATATTGTTCATACTTGTGACAAGGGACTCGTAAACTTAAATATTAAATATGATTTGATATCATGTGTCTTGTCGGTGAGAGGTGTGCTGTTACTTTACTAAGTGATCAGACGGATGATGAAATGGATGAAGAATAACCTCTCAGCTCATTGAGATCAGCGCAGGGTCGCAGGAAAGCTTGTAAAAGGTCAGATGGTGTGTTTCTGAATTAGTCACAGTCTCCTGCTCTTCAGTGTTCAAATTTTCTCCTGTAGATTCAGAGTGGGGCTCTCTCCTTCCATACACTTGACTAGTTGATTCCTACACGGCAGGCTCAGAACTGTTGTATAGAATTGATTCACTCGCTGGCTTCATTTGTGTTCTGATGCATCTCGCATTGTGCTGCTGGAGGCTGTCATGAACATATTTCTTTCTCCATAGAGGTCGTAAGCTTTCCGAGGCTCTGGTGACATTTTGGAAAACCGCGGTATTTGCAAAAGGGTAAATATTGCCCTTAGTGTTTGCCCCATTTAGATTGGCATCTTCTCTCTATTGTTTTTTCCCCTTCTTTTCTGGAGAAAAAACAAGGGAAGACTTGATCCTGCCTCTGGTCATTTTCCCTGCTTCTGACATTCTTTTGGTTTTATAGCCATCAATTGTTCCTGCAAGGCAGTAGTTATTGAATTATCTTTACAAACCTCTCCAAATGAGAGAGAAAGGTCTGTGAAGACCAGTCTTTAGGTCTTAGATGGGTAGATATCATCTGATTGTACAATAAAAAGTCAAATTAGATTGTTTGAACTGAGCAATATTAATCAAGCGACGTTATAAAGAGAAGCCTAAAGCTGTAAATCTAAGCACATTATCTCTAACAGATTGTTTTTGAACGGCTCTGGTCATCCTGAAGTCATTTATGATGGCTGCCTTCTCTCAATATGAGAGTATTAAACTGTTCAGAGGTTCAAAGTACATATGAGGTCAGTATAGTAGAGATGGTTCATGTTATGAGAAAGAAAGAAAAAATAATACTGCTGTTGAAAAATCACCAAGGCTGCATTTATTTGATCAAAAATATAGTAAAAACTGTAATATTGTGAAATGAAGTGCTGTTTGAAATTTTCTTCTAAAATTAGCATTTTTATTTTTTTATCAGGCTCCTATGTGTAGGTTCAGTAATTTCACTTTAATGGCAATGAATAGGTTGTTTTCATTGATATTGAAGTAAAATAACTGAACATAAAAATGCTAATTTTAGATGAAAATTTCAGATGGCACTTAAAGGCTTTTGCATCTGAACTCTTCAAATATTGTTGCAATTTAAAATAATTATCTATTTGAACATATGTTCAAATGTAATTTATTCCTGTGATGCAAAACGGAATTTTCAACATCATTGTTCCAGTCTTCAGTGTCACGTGATCCTTCAGAAATCATTCTAATATGCTGATTTGATAAATAAATGCAAATAATTTTAATTCAGGCAGATAGCTGTGAGTTTATTTGATTCAAAAAACTCAATAAAAGATTGAAAATGAGTCAATAAAAGAACTGGTTCAAAAGATTCATTTGTATTCAGTCTAGATCGATTGCAGCAAGTACAGTGCAATAGAAAGATATGTTATCTGTTTATTGTTATTAATTTTTGTATGTAACATTAAGATTGTTTTTAGAATAATTTCTCATTAGAATGTCAAAATCTTAAGGGTCATATAGGCATGATTTGTTTAGAGAGTTTGCATAGTTTGATGCTTGATAAAATGCATAACAATGAAGTTGTATGTGTGGTTTACTCATGTATCTGCAACAAGTAAATGCTAAGGCTTAATGGCATGAACACATGCTCTTTGAATATTATTATGCTTTTAGTGATCTTTGAGCTCGACCAGTGCCGTGGAATGCATTTTGTAGATCATGTGAGCCGAGTGCAAATGCAGTCAAATAAACCAGACTCTTAACAGCTCAAATCAAGCGCTTGTGTGATTCATTTCAGGTCCCATGTATCGTCTGGAGAAGCAAACCGAACCGAATGTGGCGGTGGATTTGGACAGTACGCTGGAGAGCCAGGGAACCATGGAGTTCTGCTTGGTCCGAGAAAACAGTGAGTTTTGATGACATTTCTGATGTTCTTGCCATTGCAACACGCGATCTTTGAACATTTCACATTCATAAACATTTTTACAACATTACAAGAAGAGATTTTCCTTTATTTTGATATATTGATGAACTTTATTGATCACCTTTGTTGTTGCAAAACAGCAGCAACATTAAATGTAAAGTGCACAAATGCACACCGAATGCACACATCTTCTTCTCCACCCCGTCCCGTCTTCATCTGCAGGTTCTCGAGGCGAGGAGAGCTCAGAGGAGGACCCGCCTATAGACATCACTACGGTACAGGACATGTTGAGCAGCCACCACTACAAGTCCTTCAAGATCAGCATGATCCACAAGCTCCGCTTCACCACAGACGTGCAGCTAGGTACTGTTTCCAGATCTCTGTATTTTACATTGATGAAATATCTGGCTCTACTTCTGCCAAAACAGACCAACATTCAGATTCAGTACAAGAGTTGTCTCTTCAGATTCAGTGAGACAAAATAGAGTACTTTACTGTAGTGTTAGTAGTAGGAAATGGCGTAATACTGTATAGTGTAGAAGCATATAATAATAGTATGTAAGTGTGTCGTATTATTATTCTAAAAGTATGGTTTAGGAAAGTATGCCACTGTTGTAAAATATAATAAAATAAAATAAAAATGCAAATTAAAAAACAATAAAATTTTAACATGCCATTAAAATTTTCTTTCAGTCACATTAATGTATAGTAAATATTATTATTGTATAGTATTAACAAGTATTATATAGTATTAGTTAAATAAATTATATGTTATATAAATAAATATGCATGTACTAATTTAAAAAAAACTTTTAAAAAATACAAAAAATGTTAACATGGCATGCTAAAATTTTCTTTTAATCGTATATAAACTTCAACTTTATTTATATAGCACATTTAATAGCAACTAAATGTAGTGCAATATTAATATATTATAGTATAGTATTAACAAAATACTATAATTTAGTATAATATATAAATTACTGTATTGTATTTATATACATTTTATAATTTTTAAATAGCTTTTATATTAAAATTGTATTTATTCAATATAACAAAGAGTGAAAAATTTAAGGGGGTCTGAATACTTTCCGTACCCACTGTATATACATGTATGTGTGTGTGTTTTATAGTTATATAAATAGTAATAATTTATATTATACTATTGGAATACAGAAAAGTATATCATTTATATATTATATATATTTATGTATTTTTGTAATATACATGTGTATATATACAATTTTATATATATTATTGTATTATATGGTATAGTTTAGTTTGGCACAAAATACTATACGGAAGTCTTAACAATGAGAAATTCCTTGAGAAAGTCTCTCCAGTTCTTGCTTACTTCTCCTGACTTCTCAGTTTCTCCACCTCTCAAAGCGCACGATTCAACTCATGAACAAAGGTTTGGCAGATGGTCCTCAGATCAAACACAGTACTGTGAAAACACAAAAAAAATATTCCAGCACACTTGACAGTTGCTCCAGTCACAGCTCCATCCCAATTACAGCAGCGCTCCAGGCGCAGGAAGCCTGTGTGAACCAGGGAATCTCTTTAGGAATTTCACTGCGATTGACAGACTGGAATTTTTTTCTGGCACACTGATGTTTGCATGCTATTTTTTTTTAAGTCACGTGAATGATTGACAGCTGTCACATCCATTATGGATAGACTGTGTGTGTGCTTCTGAGATAGACCTGTAAAAATATTCCAGACCCCTCTCTCTCACAGCGTTTGCTACAGAATCGGTGTCAGTCTCGGTCGGTTCTCCTTTCATATTTAAATAACAGGGAAAATAAACCCACACACCTGTTCATCTTTAAAACCTGGATGACAACTCTTTTGATAAAAACTGACAGTTGAGATTTATCTGTAAGTGATTTTTAAGATAAAACCTTCTCACTTTTCCAGGAATTTCTGGTGAAAAGGTGGAGATAGATCCTGTCACAAATCAGAAGACAAGCACAAAGTTCTGGATCCGACAGAAGCCAATCTCCATCGACTCGGATCTGCTGTGTGCCTGTGACCTTGTGGAGGAGAAGAGTCCAAGTCAGTTCTGCTCGTACTTTTGTGAAATATGCATGAAATCCTTATTTATTTATATACACTACCATTCAAAGCTTTGAGATCAATGTTTTTGAAAGAAGTCTGTTCTGTTCACCAAGGCTGTATTTATTTGATCAAAAATACAGTAAAAACACTAATATTGTGAAATATTATTACAAGTCAAAATAACTGTTTTCTTTTCAAATATATCTTAAAATTGAATTTATTCCTGTGCTGGCAAAGCTGAATTTCATTATGCCAGTCTTCATTTGTAGTGCTATTATAGTTTTTGTTTAAATTTAGAGATTTTATTTCTTTATCTGTTTTCATTTTAATTTTGGTTAAAGTTTTAAGTTTTTTTTGTGTGTGTATTTTTGTCTCTCTTTCTCTCAAAATGCGCAAATGGCTTCAAATCAAATCGCGTCTGCACTATAAGCGAGCTGCACAGTTGACACAGGAATTGTCACTTGCACAATCGAGGCAGTGTCGCATCGTCACTAAAGTTTATAAATTGCATTTCTTTTTAATTATTGCCAGTGTTTAAACCATTCAGCGCTCATGCGCTCTCCTGGAAACTCGCAGCGCACACACATAACGCCAGGTTCACATTACTCCGTTTGCAGTGCTTATGTGGTGTGCATTTTTTCCGCACTCATGTTAAACGGATTAATAAAGCGTTCACACTGCACACTGTTGCGGTCCAGCAGTGCGTTCCAGGAGCGGTGCGTCTGCTGAGATCGTTTCCACACCGAGTCTATTGCTGCGCTGCAAGCACTGAATTAAAGTAACAGCGCATTGTTTGCAGTAAATATGAACATGAATCGACACGAAAATTTAGTAATTACACCATAAATGCATATTATTAAAGTCTACTGTGTTTCACAGTCAACACATATGGCTTTTTGGCTAGGTTTAAAGGGAACGAGCACTTTTAGATAAACAAGGCAATAATAGATGGCACTCGTGGAGGAAGGAAAACAAAGTTCTTTATGAACCGCAGGATTGCTTGTAATAAAGAATTAAATGCAAAAGAAAAGGCAGTAGAGCTGACTGTTTCTGTCAATGGTAAGTTTTAATGTTTGTGATCATGTAAGAAAAGTAGTTTAAATGTTTTGCCACTTGCTTGAGCAACTTAATATATCAATCTAGAAGTAAATGCAAAAGTAAAAAGCATTGAATAATGTGTTTCTTATATTTATTGCATTTAAACATGTTTATGAAAGATTGTATTAGCTACTGCACTGTGTAAAAAAAGAATGCTGAAAAAGCATTTTCAGTAACAATGTCTGGATTTGAAATCAAAATAATGGATAAATGTTGTGTTTGTAGTAAACAGCCACAGATCAGTAGCAGACTCCTGTGTGAAAGCACAGTGAGCACATGCTGCTTCTGCACCGCTTACGTACCACACATGGACTGCATGCACACTGCAAACGGAGTACGTGTGAACCTGGTCTAAATGGCCATCTCACATACAGCTCACAAAATCAGGCTTGCACTGTGTGTAAGCTATTGTGCAACAATTTCACGATTGTAAAAACAAAAATGCAGTGCATGCTCAAACATTTAGGTGAGATAAAATATATATGTTTGATGAATGTCTAAAAAATGCCTCCCTCCACCCCTCAAATTAAAAAATTCCCTCTCGCAAGAGTCACCTAAGAGGGGAATTCATTTTCAAAAATGAAATTCAGGCCCTGAATAAATGTCTAAAATTCCTGATTGGATTCTTACTATAACTAATTCTACATGATAAAAAGAAGACTTTAAAAAGATCGGTATCGTTAATCGTATCGACAGATACTGCTATCGGTGATCGGCCTAGTTTTCCCGATCGGAGCACCCCTAGTTTTAGTATTAGTTAACTATAATAACCCTGCTTCAGTGTCACATGATCCTTCAGAAATCATTGTAATATGCTGATTTGCTGCTTAAAAAATTCTTGTTATGATTAGTGTTGAAAACAGTTTTTCAGGATACATTGATGAACATTGTTCAACAGAACAGCATTTATTTGAATTAGAAATGTGTCCCTTTTAATCAATGTAATGCATCCTTTAAAAAAATCATTTTTGACCAGTGGTTTGTTTTTTTTGTTTTTTTTATTAAAAATGGAATAAAAAGTATTTTTCGACTTCTTGTATACTTACAGTAAAGTAATAGGCACTGCCTCTCTAGCCTCCTCAGATAAAACGTCTCTGGTTTATGTAGCAACTCTTTTGATGTCCCACATCACTGGCGACTGACAGATATAGTGTAGCACTGCGAACTCACCAAGGGATTTATATTATATTACACTTACAGGGAACTCCGTTACTGAAAACAAAATCTATTTACGCAGCCTTTCTGTAAGGTTTGCATTGGTGTAAGTGATGCAAACATCTCTTCTTAGCGGATATGACAGGGACACGAGCGCAGCTCTCCAGACGCGTGCTGCTAACGGTGATTGATGAAGTGCAGACAGATTGCTGAAGACTGCTCACAGGCGCTGCGGCGCGAACACCGATGCTCCGACTACGCCTGTCTCTCAGTCACTGAGCGTTTGTTTCTGGAGCAGGGCCATTTATTTCTATGTGTCCTGTGTGTTCAAATTCAAAGATGCCAGAGTTCATATTTGAGGTTAATTATGTTTGAAACAGTCATATTTTATTATCAAAGAATCCTGAAAAAAAGTATCACGGTTTCCACAAAAATATGAAGCAACACAACTGTTTTCAACATTGATAATAATCAGAAATGTGTCTTAAGCAGCAAATCAGCATATTAGAATGATTTCTGAAAGATCGTGTGACACTGAAGACTAGAGTCATGATGCTGAAAATTCAGCTTCGCATCACATGAATTAATCACATTTTAAAATATTAAAATAGCAAACAGTTTTTTAAAATTGTAATATTTCACAATATTTCTGTTTTTATTGTATTTATGCTCAAATAAATGCAGCCTTGATTAGCATAAGAGACTTTTTTTCAAAACATTAAAACATGTTACTGACCGTAAACTTTTGAACAGTGTGTATATATAACATATATATCAAATTTTTATGATAGCCCTGGGTTATTTTATTGTCAGGGGTGTTTTAGGCTTTCTTGGTGCAAACACAAGATCTCTCATTCTTTATGTATTTATTTATTTATTTTATTTATGCAATGATCAGTTTATCATTATTTAACTAAATTATTTAACTTCATTATCAAGATAACATTTTTTATGGTAATTACAATTAAAATTCACTTAGCACCTGCTATTCAGTGTAAATTGCCAGAAGCTTCTATACAGAAGTATACAGAAGACTGTATTTTTCTTGTTGGGCTGAATGACTGAAAACAGATTCCAAAATATTGGACAGTTTCTAAAAATATTTTGTCAAAACTCTGGTTAATAAAAATGATTACGGTTGTAGCATAAGGATTTTTGTTAATAATAATACTTTTTTTATTTTTTTTTACTTTTTTTAAATGTAACAAATAGTATTAGCTCACATGCACATGTATGTTGAACCATGGTGGTAATTTTTTTTTTGCTGAATGTAACTTTAAGATCTTTATGGTTTCTTTGTAGGTCATGCAGTATTTAAGCTCACATATCTAAGCAATCACGATTACAAAGCCCTGTACTTCGAGAGTGATGCTGCTACTGTCAATGAGATTGTGCTCAAGGTAGGATTTATAGTTTTTTTTACTGCTTTTTTTGTGTATAAATTCAAACACATTCACAGGAAGTGTGTCATTTCCTTTTCCTCTGCCAGGTGAACTACATTCTGGAGTCCCGTGCCAGCACGTCGAGGGCGGAGTACTTCGCCCAGAAACAACGCAAACTGAACCGTCGCACGAGCTTCAGTTTCCAGAAGGACAAAAAGTCGGGCCAGTAGAGCTGGCGGCCAAACCGATCCGCAGACTCCGAACCGAATGGCCTGTGTGAACAGAGGTAGAGCGATAGACGGGAAACATAAAGAATAGAAGGATGGCGAGAAGTTTAGACGAAAATGCGTAGGAAATGCGAGACAGACGTCTCATCCGGATGGAGAAAATTAGCCTCTCATGGTCGGCCTTTCCTGGACTGACGGTCCTTAATCATATCAGAGCACTAATGCTCTCTGCTGTCACTCGAATGTACTTGCAAAACCAACCAACAATCTAATTGAACAATTATATTAACGTTTGAAGCCACAGCCATCGCCCAGACCAGACAAAACCATCGGCTGGACTCTGAATGCCAAGGACCGAGAACTTGCTGCTGTTTGCGTCAAAGACTTACTTCCACTGCCTACAAACCAACTGTACATAAACGCGCACCAAACGAACGCAGTCGGAACCTTATAAGCCAGAGAGAGCAAGCGAACCGTATTAGCTGTTCCCGTATGTATCAAAGACGTTAACTTAAACCGAATCGGACACTGACACGTAAAGGGATCGCAATTTTTTTTTACGAAAATGTAAATAGCAAACTCATTCAGGGTCTGATGACAAACCCTCTTTGGCCATAGTACTTCAGTGCCTGCTACAAATCAATAGGACGAATGCGTTCTTCGAGATTTTAAGCGTCCGCTGGTTAAGTCGGGAAACTCTTTTTACCACCAGAGGAGGTTAATAGGTTAAGGAATGACAGATTTTTAATGATCAAATATGAAATTAATAACTACTTTTTACTGTGATGTGTTTTTCCCCTCTGCATTGTATCTTTGGATTGCATATATATATATATATAATAACGAACCAATCGCCGTCTGTCTCTTATCAACGGGTGTTTTGGTTTATTCTGACTGTCCTCTCGGGCTGCAATGGGAATGTATGACCGTCTTTGCTACATTTCTTTCTAGATGTTAAAGATAACATTATTACGCTAGGTTCATTTCTTCCGTGTCCGTCGGCTCGTTCTGCCGTCTCAACCTGAAACTTTCGCTCTATAACTCCACTTCAAATGCTGCTGTTGTTAAACTGGATTCAGGGTGTTCATTCTATCCAAAACTGTTCTGACTCAGGTTTCCGACTGCCATGTTTTCTTGACTGATCTTGTTTTGTTTCGTTACGTTTTTTTACGTCTGTCAAGCTGACGAATGGACAAAGAGAGCGTGTGTTTTCCCATGACGGGGATAACGGCTTAATAGACATTTCAAATAAAACTTTATTTATAATATTCCGATGACCTGGGGGGGGATCATGCGGCCTATGGAATCAATATTTGCTACAGTACATGTATACTGTATATACGTAGATTTTTTAATTAAAGACTGAACTACGATACATTTGTCCTGGTGTCATTTTGTTGGGTTTTTATCATTTTGTCTTAAGGTAGGTATAAGTTAGGCAGCATAATTGTGTTTAATTTAAAGATGGCTTCTTTTGGACAAATTCTAATGCAGCATTGCATGCATCTTTCACAGATAAGGCAATCCCAGAATGCATTACGACGTGAAGCTCATTCAAGCCGGCAGATGAGTAATCAGTTATTTCATTCAATAAATGTGAATTATTGATTAAAAATAGCTCGGTTTAATTTAGAATTTACTATTGGAGTCAGTTGATTTTCACATGTGTTTTGCTTGAGAAGCACTTTTGAGTGTATACAGTGGGTACGGAAAGTATTCAGACCCCCTTAAATTTTTCACTCTTTGTTATATTGCAGCCATTTGCTAAAATCATTTAAGTTAATTTTTTTTCCTCATTAATGTACACACAGCACCCCATATTGACAGAAAAACACAGAATTGTTGACATTTTTGCAGATTTATTAAAAAAGAAAAACTGAAATATCACATGGTCCTAAGTATTCAGACCCTTTGCTCAGTATTTAGTAGAAGCACCCTTTTGATCTAATACAGCCATGAGTCTTTTTGAGAAAGATGCAACAAGTTTTTCACACCTGGATTTGGGGATCCTCTGCCATTCCTCCTTGCAGATCCTCTCCAGTTCTGTCAGGTTGGATGGTAAACGTTGGTGGACAGCCATTTTTAGGTCTCTCCAGAGATGCTCAATTGGGTTTAAGTCAGGGCTCTGGCTGGGCCATTCAAGAACAGTCACAGAGTTGTTGTGAAGCCACTCCTTCGTTATTTTAGCTGTGTGCTTAGGGTCATTGTCTTGTTGGAAGGTAAACCTTCGGCCCAGTCTGAGGTCCTGAGCACTCTGGAGAAGGTTTTCGTCCAGGATATCCCTGTACTTGGCCGCATTCATCTTTCCCTCGATTGCAACCAGTCGTCCTGTCCCTGCAGCTGAAAAACACCCCCACAGCATGATGCATGATTCATCTTTTATAACATGGGATTTTGACCAAATATATTCAATCTTGATTTTTGTAAAATGTTGCAACAAGATGTGTGTTTGTGTGTGTGTGTGTGTGCGCGTGCGTGCGTGTGTGTGTGTGAGAGAGAGAGCAATTACAGTTTTGGACATATAAGGTAATAAAACATATTTAAAAAATACCTTAAATTAACTACAAATGAGCATGTAAAAATATATATTTTTAAAATTCTATGTGGAGCATGCCCCCGGTTATGTCCTGTATAATAAGTGAGTTTGGTCTCTGTATAATGCAGAGAAATCTCTTTGTTGCGACATTAATACAAAGTCAAGAACGTTTGTTAGCCTCCAGCTAGTGCGGGTTTCTCCTCTGTCACATTTTGTTTGCTTTGCTCCACCAACCCTACAGGCCTCAAGAGAGCCAGACACCCAACTGAACGAGGAGTAATCGGCCCTCGCTGCTTCATCTGATGTTTATATACTGGGAGAAAAAAAAACAGTAATCCACAACTGTGTGTCTGTCTGTCTGTATATATATATATATATATATATATATATGTGTGTGTGTGTGTGTGTGTGTATATGTATGTAAAGTAATGTCAGTTACTACTAAATATATGTAATGTACAAAAGGAAAAATTTATATATCAACTCAGTTACTATTCAATTCAATTCAAGTTTATTTGTATAGCGCTTTTCACGCACAGCAGCTTTACAGAAAATTTAAGATTCTACATTATATTTAGTAATAGCTTATCAGTGGTGACTATCTCAACTTGATGTCCATTATAGCAAAATTTGGTCGTTTTGTATGTTGTCTGAGGGTTGGCATCATCTCTTCTCAGATGTTCGGTCATCTCAGGTCTTTGTAAGGGCTGGATCCAGACTGAAGCTTGTGTAATTCCTAGAAACAGAGAAGGTAATAGAGGGAAAAATTAGTGTAGCTGCTGTTCCAACTAAGCAAAAAAAGATGTGTCCAACCCAAGCAAAAGAATAATAATGTGCATTTGATCAGATGTAACTGAAGTACAAGGTTATGAGATACATTATGTGAATGCTTGGCTAAAGAGATGTGTCTTTAATCTAGATTTAAACAGAGAGAGTGTGTCTGAACCCCGAACGTTATCAGGAAGGCTATTCCAGAGTTTGGGAGCCAAATATGAAAAAGCTCTACCTCCTTTAGTGGACTTTGCTATCCTAGGTACTACCAAAAGTCCAGAGTTTTGCGACCTTAGGGAGCGTGATGGATTGTAGCGTGGTAGGAGACTAGTTAGGTACGCAGGAGCTAACCCATTAAGGGCCTTATTGGCAAGTAATAATATTTTGTAACTGAGACGGAACTTAATAGTTAGCCAGTGCAGAGACTGTAAAATTGGGGTAATATGATCATATTTTCTTGACCTGGTAAGGGCTCTAGCTGCTGCATTTTGGATGCAGCTTGTTTATTGAAGATGCAGGACAATCAGCTAGCAGTGCATTACAATAGTCCAGTCTAGAGGTCATGAATGCATGAACTAGCTTTTCTGCATCAGAAACCGGTAACATGTTCCATAACTTGGCAATGTTTCTAAGATAGAAAAATGCTGTTTTTGTAACATGGGGAAATTTGATTTTCAAAAGACAAGTTGCTGTCTAATATAACTGCTATAATATAATTGCTGTCTAATAATTTTTGACTGTAGAGGAAGTAACAGTACATCCGTAGATGCAAATTGTAATCTACTAGATTCTGTGAACTGTTTTAGGTCCAATAAGTAATATCTCAGTCTTAACCGAATTTAATAGGAGAAAATTATTGGTCATCCAGTCTTTTACATTTTTAACACACTCTCTTAGATAAGATCATTTAGAAGTTTCATCTGGTCTTGTTGAAATATATAGTTGAGTATCATCAGCATAACAATGGAAACTAATCCCATATATTCTAATAATATTACCAAGGGGCAACATGTATATTGAAAATAGCAGAGGACCTAGGACAGATCCTTGTGGCACTCCATACTTTACTGGATTTAATTGAGATGATTCCCCGTTTAAAATGACAAAGTGATAGCGATCAGAATGGTAGGATCTAAACCATCTTAAAGTCTGCCCTTGAATACCTGTATAGTTTTGTAATCGATCTATGAGTATGTCATGATCTATTGTGTCGAATAGATCATAGTAAAACTAGCAATGAGACACAGCCTTGGTCTGACGCAAGAAGCAAGTCATTTGTAATTTTAACAAGTGCAGTTTCTGTGCTATGGTGGGGCCTGAAACCTGACTGAAATTCTTCATAGAGATCTTCTCTTTTTTTTGAAGGAAGGAGCACAATTGAGCAGACTTTTTCAAATATTTTAGACAGATGGAAGATTTGAGATGGGTCTGTAATTTGACAATTCACTAGGATCTAGTTGTGGTTTCTTAATAAGAGGCTTAATAACCGCCAGCTTGAATGTTTTTGGGACGTGACCTAGAGATAACGACGAGTTAATAATATTGAGAAGCGGTTCTTCTGCTACAGGTAACAACTCTTTCAGTAATTTGTTGGTTTAGATGCAGTGATAAGTTTATTTAACTCTTCCTGTCTACTTACTACAAAAATAGTAATATATATATATAGTTTTATTTTGGTGTAAAAAAGAAATTACTACAAAAAAAAAAATATATATATATATATATAATTTATTTCATTTTTGCAGTAATTAAAATGTTTTTTTTTTACATTACAATTGTAGTACTATTTGTAGTATGTAATTTTTTTTATATTCAATTGTAAACTTTTTGTTGTAATTGAAATTATATTTGTATATTTATTTATTTAAATAAAAGTATGTAAATTACGTACTATATATTTATAGATAAAAATTAGGCTATATATTAGAATTATACAAAGTTTGGGTAGGCCTATAAAAAGCATGTTGATGCCAGATGTCCAAACAGCCTGTGTCTGGTTTTTGATTACCTTAGTGTTACGTTTAACTACATTTTAGTCCAAGTTTTTGTGTTAATGTTAATTTTGTAATGACATCAAATTCTAGCTTTTTTTTTATTATCTATGTGGTACTTGTGTGTTTTGTTTGCAAATGTTAGTTCAGTTTGATATGAATGCTGCAAGAGATTCAACATTTTCGTTTTTTCAGTTGCTTTTGTCTGGATTTCTTGACTGAATTTCTAATATCTGCTTTTTTGATTAATGCACTTATCTTTCCCTCAGTCTTTCCATTTTCAACAGGCTTCGTGAATTTTGTCAGAATATGAAAACCTTCAACGTTTTTGCCGCAAGATCAGATGCATGAATGCTGTTTAGGAAACCACTGATTGTATTTCACTTTGCAGTGTAACGAAAAAGACCAACAACCAATCGACTTGATTTAAAAAGGATGCAAGTAACAGCACTTCAACAACAGGTAACGTCTCGCCTGTGGGGTTAAACGCTGGGAATCAGAGCCCAGCTGGCAGAGGACACGTCCTTACAGACGCCTCTGTCTTGAGGTTCCTCTGCAGCTGTGGCCCCTGAGAGGTCTTTTTCTGCCCTCCACGAGAACCGGAGATAGACACTGGTTAAAAATATCCTGAGACCTCGCCACAACCGAGACAATAAACTTAATTCAGAGTGACAGTCATGGAGCCGGAGATGGATTTTCTCAGTTCTTGTTGCAGGAGAAAGAGGCTTGTTTTGGCTCTGCAGCACTGCAGTGTCTCGGTGCATCCTCACTGGACTCTTTCCAGACGGTGTCAGTTTGGCTTTTGAACACAGTACATTTTGTTTTCTGCCGAGTGCAATCGTTTTGATGGTAGTCTGCCTTTCAATCCACTAGCTTTGAATGTTGATGCACTCAGTGTTAGTTTCGTTGTTTTCAGAGCTGCCTGGGAATTTTTGAAGGTTCAAATGTGGTTTTGTTTTCCAAGAAATACAGGCCTGGGTTACAGAAGATTTTACCATTCCCATTTTTTCCCAGAGATTTAAAAAAAGAATTATGCAGACGTTCAGGAAGAAAAGTGTGTGTGTGTGTGTGTTAGGGCTGTCAATCTGTCAAATCAATTAATGGCATTCAAAATCAAAGTTAGTGTTTACATAATATATGTGTGTGTACTGTGTATATTTATGTATAAATACTTATAAGAAATATATCTAAGTGTGTGTATGTGATTTCACCAAGTGCAAAATGTTTCAACATTCCAAGCAACCAATCAGAAATGAGGGATAAGTTTAAGGAAATGTCAGTGTTACCCTTACAACCAGATTTAGGTGCTTCTATACTCTTGTTATTCATTTCCCTCTGATTGTATGGATAGATTATGGGTAGGGTTAGTTTTAGGGCTGTTTTGGACAATAATTTTGATCCAGAAACATGTCATGTGTCATGTGTAGCCTATGTGTGTGTATTCCTATATACACAGTACACACACATAATGTAAACGATTTTCTCTTTTATTACATTTTAAAATCACAAGTTTATTTTTTTTTAATGTTTGTATATTTGAATACAGCACCAGGCCCATTCAGCAAAACATGAAGCAATACAGACCAAGAGCCACATTCATAACGCCTCGTGCTTGTTTGATTTATATCAGGCTGCCTGGAGCAGTAAAATGCATTTTCTCGTATTCATTTTTCTTCATGTGTGTGTTTTCCAGCAGCTGCAGCAGATCTTCAGACGGAAGCTGACTGCCGTCTAGAGGCAACAAATGCAAACTGAGCAGGTCTTTTATATTTACTTCTGCAAACACGCACGCTTCTGAACGCACTAACATCTTCTAGGTGTCGTGCATTATGCACTTTTTTTTCAGTTGCTTTTGTCTGGATTTCTTGACTGAATTTCTAATATCTGCTTTTTTGATTAATGCACTTATCTTTCCCTCAGTCTTTCCATTTTCAACAGGCTTCGTGAATTTTGTCAGAATATGAAAACCTTCAACGTTTTTGCCGCAAGATCAGATGCATGAATGCTGTTTAGGAAACCACTGATTGTATTTCACTTTGCAGTGTAACGAAAAAGACCAACAACCAATCGACTTGATTTAAAAAGGATGCAAGTAACAGCACTTCAACAACAGGTAACGTCTCGCCTGTGGGGTTAAACGCTGGGAATCAGAGCCCAGCTGGCAGAGGACACGTCCTTACAGACGCCTCTGTCTTGAGGTTCCTCTGCAGCTGTGGCCCCTGAGAGGTCTTTTTCTGCCCTCCACGAGAACCGGAGATAGACACTGGTTAAAAATATCCTGAGACCTCGCCACAACCGAGACAATAAACTTAATTCAGAGTGACAGTCATGGAGCCGGAGATGGATTTTCTCAGTTCTTGTTGCAGGAGAAAGAGGCTTGTTTTGGCTCTGCAGCACTGCAGTGTCTCGGTGCATCCTCACTGGACTCTTTCCAGACGGTGTCAGTTTGGCTTTTGAACACAGTACATTTTGTTTTCTGCCGAGTGCAATCGTTTTGATGGTAGTCTGCCTTTCAATCCACTAGCTTTGAATGTTGATGCACTCAGTGTTAGTTTCGTTGTTTTCAGAGCTGCCTGGGAATTTTTGAAGGTTCAAATGTGGTTTTGTTTTCCAAGAAATACAGGCCTGGGTTACAGAAGATTTTACCATTCCCATTTTTTCCCAGAGATTTAAAAAAAGAATTATGCAGACGTTCAGGAAGAAAAGTGTGTGTGTGTGTGTGTTAGGGCTGTCAATCTGTCAAATCAATTAATGGCATTCAAAATCAAAGTTAGTGTTTACATAATATATGTGTGTGTACTGTGTATATTTATGTATAAATACTTATAAGAAATATATCTAAGTGTGTGTATGTGATTTCACCAAGTGCAAAATGTTTCAACATTCCAAGCAACCAATCAGAAATGAGGGATAAGTTTAAGGAAATGTCAGTGTTACCCTTACAACCAGATTTAGGTGCTTCTATACTCTTGTTATTCATTTCCCTCTGATTGTATGGATAGATTATGGGTAGGGTTAGTTTTAGGGCTGTTTTGGACAATAATTTTGATCCAGAAACATGTCATGTGTCATGTGTAGCCTATGTGTGTGTATTCCTATATACACAGTACACACACATAATGTAAACGATTTTCTCTTTTATTACATTTTAAAATCACAAGTTTATTTTTTTTCTCTTTTTAATTAAAGCCGTTCCTCAAAGTACATTTAATAGACCGTGGATAATCCACGGCCCTTTATATGTACCATGTTTCTACTCTGCATTAAGTTCTTCTTTTTTTAAACTATGTTTATATAATATAATATAATATAATGACTATTAACATATTAATAAAAATACACATTTTTTTTTAGTGATAAAAAGAAATATAGCATTATATTTCTTTAGCCAACATTTTTTCAACATTTTAGCGGGACAATGTTGGTCATTTTTTGCATAGTAAAAAATATTCAGCTCTGACGTAAATAATTCTGTAGTTTGCCCAAATAAATCAAGATTGTTGTTTTTTTTCTCTCTTTCTCTTCATGAACAATACAAGAATATCAAAAGAGAATTGCTACAAAGAAAACAATTGCCAGTGAAGCATAAATTAACAAATCCTAGGACTAGATAGCAAGTCGATGGATAAACTATGTGAATTATTCATATTCAACATCTGATGGGCAATATTCCAACATTGAATAATACTGACCTTGCAGACATGAATACATTTTTTTCATTAACAAAATACATATCTACAAACATGTATAACAAATAAGCTGAGATCAATGCTTTAATATATAAAAGGTGCACTTGTTTATATAATGTCATCTAGGAGATGTGGGTTGGCTACCCAGTCCAAAGTTCGTGGCTCAGAGGCTGCCATTATCATGCACATGAACTGCTTGCCGGTCCTTTTATCAATTGGATAAATAGTAGTGGGCGTGAACCTCCTGTTGTTCTCAACAAACTCACAGAGCTTTTGGTAGACATTGGGATGCTCGTGGCGAAGAAACACCCCACGTATCCTCAACTCTCGCTGAATGTTGATGAAGCAGATCTCCCGTGCTTTCCTTCCCTCCTCGCCTTCCTTGTCAATGTCAGCCATACCTGGCGGTGGGGTCAGGATCAACGTTTCCATGTCGCTTTCCTTCCGATGGACCTTCTTTTCCGGGCTGTAGGAGGCAAGAGCAATCTTGGCAAATTTCCTGACGGTTGGGGCTTGGACCCTTGGCGATGGTCCGTCAGGCACTTGATCACCAACCGCAATGGATACATTCAAGAGAAAACATTCATTAGGGTTGTATTCCTTTCCCGCCTCTTGGAGCTCCTTGCAATATTCCCCAAGGTTATCCTTGAAGCTCTCCAGCTCACGGAGAGATAAGTATGTTGGCGACATGAGTAGACTTTCTAGTCCAAACTGAAGGAAATTTGTGGACGAACCTGGATTTGGAAAGCCCAAAAACAAGACTCCCCTGCCCCGAGACAGGTATCCCACTTTGGCTATACGGGAGAAAGTTTTATGGACCTCTGCGGTTTCTCGACAGTGCTTAATAACGTGGCGACACACACTACCGATTCGCCCATAGAGGCAGCTCTCCTTATGGACGTCCCAGTCTTCACGGCGACAGTTGCGAGAACAGTAGTAGGTATAGCAGCTGTGGCAGGACTTAAAGTAGAGGCAGGCGTTAAACAAGGTCTCAGTCCGACGGCATTTATCGTTTGAACACATCATAGTGTCGTCCTCATCGGGACTCTGGTCAGGGGAGCACTCTTCTGTACTTCTGAGGCCGTCACAACTCCCGTCAGTGCCTCTTAGTGTGTCAGGATCTATTTTTATTGAAGTGGGTTGTTTGTCAAGGGGAATGCCACTTTCAGATCCTGCCATCGAATCTTTTCTTGCTGAAGATACTGCTTCTTCTTCGTCAATTAGCTTTTTGAGTTGATCAAGCAAGTCTTCACTTGTCCTCCTGGCTGGAGGTTTGTAATCGATAACAAGGTCTGCTAGAAGCTCATCAAGCTGCTCTAAACTTTGCTGTAAAGATGTGCTGCTGTACATTTTCTCTTTGGTAGATTCTCCAGAGTGGGATTTTGCTTCACGATGATGGGCTTCTTGATTTGGGGCACTTTTTAAATCCAGCACATCCCAACTTGCAGAGCGTGCTTCTGATTTACTAAGATTGCTTGGTCTGATATCATTGTCTGTGATGGTAATCTCAGGTGTGACAAACCACAGTTTACTCGAAGAGCTCTTGGCCTCAGTTGGACTTTTGTCAATCAAAGAGTTTTCAGATAAGGACAGTGCAGCATAACGCCTTGGTGAGCTGGAAAGGTTGACAACCACAGGTTTTGGTCGTTCACTTGAAGTTTGTATCCCCTGACAAAGAAGATTCTCATCGCTTTTCCCTCGGGGTACGGGCTGTTCCCGCTCTACATGGGTATCAAGGATGTTATCCCAAGATCTTGAGTACGGTCTTGGGTCTGTTACGGTTCTTGCTGGCTCCATGCATGGGTTGGCATACCAAGTTGTGAGCTTTGGCTCTTGTCTATCTCTCGTGGGAGTAACCTGTGAGACGTACGAGGAACGGTAATGGCTAGAGTAGCCGGAGACCTCTGAGCCGTACCAGTCCTCTGATTGCGGCTGCACCACACGGGCATGTCGTCTTCCCTCTGTGTAATACGCCCTTGCAGGAATATGATGCTCCATTGGTGGCGTGTAGGGGTCAGCCATGTAGAAGATCCGAGGGGGGGCTGTTTGAATCTGATATGTCCTTGGGTCATCGCCATAGAAAGTCCTTGCTGGAGGTGTCTGAATTACATACGCCCCTGGCTCACTTGCAGCATAGGGTTTAGGGTACACAGGCTGTCCAGGGTAATGGTTGGGGTCGATTTCTGTGAAATATTGCCGGGAAGGTACAGTATGAACAATGTGAGTCCTTGGATCTTGTACATATTGTACTTTAGGTGAGTAGGGTTGGCTAGGAATGCTGTATCGGTCATCTTGATAAGTCCTTGATGGAGCTGAAGATCCATACTTCCCCAAATCCTCTGCATAGAAGAATTTAGTTGGCACATTGGGGCTTGAATGAGCCCTTCGTTCCCGTCCATAGTGTTCCCTTGGCTCCCGTGGCGAGACCACCTTTTGCAAAGGGATTTCCATAGGTTGCATGTAGCTATTTGGCATACTTTTGGAATACTGGTACGCCTGCCTGTACTCTCCAGTGAAGGAGTCAGTGGGAGTCGGTGTCCTTGAAGCAGAGAAATGGCGAGGCAATGTCAGACTCCGACTGCCACTGCTGGGATACTTCTGCCAAGGTACATCCACATGGGGTGTAGCTGCCTTTCGGCCTCCATGCTGCACGGCCGACTCGTCTGGTTTGATGTCCACCCGGCACCGAACATGAGGACTAGTGGCAGGTTTCTCTGGCCTTCCTTCGTCAAAGCCTTCAGTCACATATACAGGGGAATACCTGCTTGTATCACTCCTCTGTGGCTGCAATTTGATGGGATGTACTTCATTCACATGTGCCTGCGTGGCAGCATAGGGAGACTCTCTTCTTGGGGAAACTTCTGGCCTTGGCTGAGTGTTTTCGACATCTTGTCATTCTCATAAACTTTATGCAAAACAGGTGCAATCATTTGTCATGAAGAACCGTATTGTACAAAGAGAACAACTGAAATAATGCATGTAGTCATTAAAGATATAATCAAAGCAATGCTTTCAATGGTATATATGCACTACTAGCTTTTTTGAATTCACATTTAGTTCCAGCTCGTGAACTTTTTTTCTTCTAAAAAGTAGATTAAATGGTTTTCAAGACCTCCTACACATTCCCTACAGCTAAGTTTATCAGACTGAGGAAATCACATCTTGTTTCTATGACAGACATTATTGTAAAGAAGGAACTGACACTTCTACAAACATTACTCTCTCCAGACGCCGTTTACTCACAGAGCATTAGTCTGGCAGCTTTTACCATTGCCTCACACAATCGAGTAACTGTGTGCATATGGAACACCCACCGTCTACCAACATACGCACAGCCACCAGACTTGTGCAATGCAAGATATTTTCTTCTCCCTAACTAATTTGGAAATGCATAATTTGTTTTAAAAATTGTCAATTTGTTCAAGTCCAAGACAGGTAAAACTGCAGGAACAATGGCATAAGATTGTCTGAGATGATGACAAGGAAAGTGCTTTTGAAAATCCCATTTAAATGCAATATTATTATTCATGTTGATTTCATATGTCCAAAAAACTAAAATCCTTACACCTTCAACACACACTAGTGCACATGATGTACCCCAACATTTCAGAATTTTCCAATCTTAGGGTGATGAAACCACATTTTGAAACTGAAGCCCCACAAAAACATTAAAAAAAAAATTTAATTCTTAAATTTAATATATATATATATATATATATATATATATTCATCGTAGAAGAGGTGTATGAATTGTATTTAAATCTATTTTTGAATAATTTCATAAATCTGGGGGAACATGCATTGAGCTAAAAATAATGAACAACAAAGACAAACTGTTTGCAGAGCATAAAAGCTGTCATTATTATCAGTGATGACCTCAATCCCTTAACAGAGCTGATAGGACTATAAAGCTTCACATATTTCACACAATTACACAAGGAGGCACAGCTGAATGCAGCTCTATACAGCAGAATTTCCTCTTTGGCAAATGCAAGTCACGTATTGTTTTTTAAATAAAGCTTATTGTACATTATTTATTCTTTTAAATTCGATATATAAAGGAAAGCCATCAAGTCGTGACACAGAAATAGGTCATGTCAAATGAAATCACACAACACAATGATGAATCTAATCTGCATAAAATGTTCCATTATTTTTTTTTTTTTAATGAATGAATCAATTAATGTATTATTCATGGATCTGGCTAATTTAAAATTTTATGCAGTTTTGTTTCAATTACTTATTCAGTATAATAATGAGAATATTAAATTGATCCAGATGGCAGAAGAGCAGCCATCAAGTCGTGACACAGAAATAGGTCATGTCAAATGAAATCACACAACACAATGATGAATCTTATCTGCATAAAATGTTCCATTATTTTTTTTTTTTTTAATGAATGAATCAATTAATGTATTATTCATGGATCTGGCTAATTTAAAATTTTATGCAGTTTTGTTTCAATTACTTATTCAGTATAATAATGAGAATATTAAATTGATCCAGACTTACAGTAAATATATACTGGCCTAATATGAAACTACTATAACTACAATAAACTGCAAGCATTCTCTTTCTCAGTATAGAAGCAAAATTATATATTAAAGCAATAGTTCACCCAAATATAAAAATTTGCTGTTAATTTATTCACCCTCAGGCCATGCGCAATGTAGAGGACTTTTTTTCTACAGTAGAACAGTAAAGAAGATTTTTAGCTGAAACCGTGGTTCTTGGTGAAATGCAGGTCAGTGGCTACCAGCACATTGTGCCTTCTAATGTTATATTGAGGTCCTATGAAGTGAAATGACTGGTCTGTGCAAGAAACTGAATGTTATTTACAATGTTATTACCTGGAATATAATTGTGCATTGCATGATTACGTAAATGAACTGGTGAATCATTTATTTGAACCAGTTCATTTAAACAAACAGTCTGAAAGAACCAGTTTGTGGAAAACCATCACCATTTGCCTGAAGCTATGTATTACAGGTAATATTGTAGTAATAATTCTCAGTTTCCTGCACAGACCGATCGTTTCACTTTATAAGCCCTCGGTATATTGTCAGGAGCCATGGGTATTAATTTTGTCTTGCCTGTATGTGCTTTTTTTTACTCTCAAAGTGATGGTAGCCATTGACTTGCATTTTATGAAATTTTTGGGTGAACTACCCCATTATTAAGTCTTGTTTTCTGAAAGAAAATATAAAAACGAATGAGTTGATGCTTAAAACAAGAAGAAATATCTGTTTTCCCATTTAAGTTCAGACCCCACTGGCTGATATTTTTCTTGTTTTAAGCATAAATGATCACTCGGAGTAATGCATAATGCAGTTTGAATTGAAATAGTTTTGCTATGAGGGTTAACAGGAGCATTTGTTCAGCATCTCACTGAAAAATCGCCAAATCCAGCAATAAGGGCACTCAAAGGAGTCAAGACTTGGTAAAGCGCATCCGTGGCCTTTGACCTTGTCATCTGTAAAGTGTGTGAATGTGCCTGTATTGTGCCGTCTCACTGCTGCTGATGCCAGCTGACCCTTTTAACCCAGCGCAGAGCTACAGATGGATGTGAATTATTGAACATGTGAGCCTCTTTACCATTACACATTTCCTCTATGCTTTTCTCTTTACTGTAGACACAATGCACTACATTAGAAAGATCTATCCTTTAAGCATCCATGAAATGCATGGAAATCTGTGGTTTATCCATGGAGTGACAGCCAGAACAAATAATTCTGACAAACCAATGCCGCTCCCTAAAATGCAACCCAAAATATTCATTTCCATGACTAAAGACAACTTCATGTATGAAATGCATGCATACAACAGCCTATATAAACCTGCCTATATAAATACTAGCTTATATGGACAAGAGTTGATTTTTCCAGAAAATCTGACCTTTTGTATGAAGCCGTTCACATGCGCAGTGACATAAATTTACTTGCATTTGATTAGGAACCTAGAAATCTAATGAATCTGCAATACAGTAATATACACTGCAAGTCCAATTCATAATTATTTATGATTAATATTCTGTAAACTAAAAAAATGGCAAGAGTTACACTTTGGAATAGAAATTTAGTTTAAAAAACAAAAATATTGCTCGTGATGCAGTCTTACAATGCTATTAGACATCAGTTTTAATGTAAAAAAAAATTAATTAATCAATCCATTGTTTTTTTGTTGTTGTTGTCAATTGAAATCAGAAATAGATATTACATGAAAAAATTACTAAAACTGAAATATAAATAAATTAAAGCTAAATGGAAAATTAAAAAACAACCGATAAAATGACAAAAGCACAAAACAAAATTACTAAAATAATGAACTAATAATTAAATATTACAAAATTAAAAAGTTAAAGTAAAAAAAAGAGGAAATGTTAATGTTGCATTGGCAACTGAAATAAAACAAGTTTAAGTTGGAGTACTAAAATGACTAAAACTTAAAAATAGAGCTGAATATAAAATAACTCAAAAATGACAAATGCATATAACAAAATGACAAATAATTAACTAATATGAAATGAAAACTACACACACACACACGTATATGCATATATATATATGTGCGCAAAATATTAATAAATAATATAATGGTAAAGAAATAAAATACTAAAATAACACTGGTAGACATGCAAAATCACAAAGCAGTCCAACTTAGGTTCAGTTTCAAGTTCTTTGAAATCACAAATGGAATCATTTTGCATGAGAAACAGATATTTCATGTGCTCACGCACTTTCTAAAATGTAAAGATGCAAATGAAAGTCAAGCTCTCTTGCTCAGACTTCTCAAGCCTTTTAACACACCATGTGATTATTTCTTGATGTGAATTCCTCAGACCCTTCTTATCAGACCCCTTCAGTCTTATCAATGGCAGTCGAGTCTCATAATGCAACCCATTAAACACTGCAGACTTGAATAGAACCTTTCCATGCCAATGCGGTCCATTCCTCGCTGAAGGCCCGCTGCTAATTTTGCATAATGAGCCTATTTGATACGGGGGACAATGGGAGGCTTGTGAAAGGCTTGGAAACAAAAAACTCCCAATCCTGCAGCCTGAGCTGCTAAACGAACGCTGCAGAAATGCAGATCTGTGACAGAAAAGCATCAGTGCCGATGTGGGAAAAGAAAACGATTATGGGGCGTACTGTAGCAGGGCTCTACTGCATAAATGGGCTGATCAGAGTCATGATCTGTGAAAAATCATTCATGACAGACTGCATCAAAACCAGCGTCTGCTCTCTCCCGTATGACCATCTGTTCAGGCTGATCAGGCAACACCCTCGTCTCCACACAACCCAGTACCTACCTGATGAACTTATGTTCATCTAACACAGAAAATACCTGCAGCAGAACTGAGTCACATTTATGGTCTGAGTCAAAATTTGGGGTCAGAAGGATTATTTTTTTTAATTTTCTTTTAATTTTCTTTTGAAAGAAGTCTCTTATGCGACCTATTGATTTGATAAAAAAAAATACAGTAAAATTGTGAAATATTATTAGAATTTAAAAATACTCTTAAAACCCCTTTTCAATTTGAATATATTTTAAAATATAATTTATTTTTGTGATTTAAATCAGAATTTTCAGCATCATTACTGCAGTCTTCAGTGTCATATGATTAGGGTTGGGAATCGAAAATCGATTACGATTCCAGAATTGGATACTTAAGGTCAGGAATCAGATACTTGTTGTCAAATTAAAATATATATTTTTTTTCCCCTTCATCTGTGAGGTCATCATGTGTTGCGGACCTAGCGATCTGCCAGGACCTTGCTCGCTAATCTAAGCTTTCCAAAGTTTGGCTACATTTGCGATCAGAAGCCAAAACAGCTAACGTTAAGTATAATATCTGTGATAGCTAAACATGTTGCAAGAGAGGTGTCACCACCAACAAGACAAAGCACTTTAATTTAATCGATCGTTAAAGTTCACGAACACGATTCAAACACCAACGTGATTCTATTCCTAAATTACAATGATTCATCGGTTTCATTCCTCAACCTTTGACGTGTGCGATCAATGTTGTGATCACTTGTTGGTTCATCCGTGCAGCGTACGATCACACCAGTGTGATTTGAACATTTAAATATGCATTCGCGCTGCCGCTGACCTAAAGAGAGCAGCTGTCATCTGTCACAGTCTTTTCAACCGCACAGTATCATTATTTCTGTGCTACAAACATTCAAATCACAGAAGTACTGGGATAAAAGTTTGTAGTTCAGATATAAACTGTGTGTACGATGTGTAAGGTAGCGATTAAAATAGAGT